TCATAATATTTAAAATATATTTTTTTATATTAAAAATATAATTCTTTTTAATTATTTTTACTAATATATAAGTAGATAATAAAAATAAATAAATATAAAAATCCTTGCAACACATAACATTTCTATTAGTATATTGTATTATATAAATGAAGTCACATGTCATATAAAAAGATAATAATAAATAAATAAATATAAATAATGTTGCTAAATTTAAATTAGGTTGATTCAACTAAACTTTATTTAGAGATTATTTTTTCTTTGATAAGTGTAAAGGTAAAATTAGTTTTTTTATTCTTTAACTTTAAAGGAAGTTTTAATATCATTTTTTTAACTTTTTTTTTTTAATTCATTTTAGCCTTAATTTTTTTTTTTCACATTAGTATTTCCATTAGCTTTGTTATATAACCTCTTAGAGATATCTTATATGGCGTCGAGTTAACCTTAACACCATTATGTAATCTAATCTTCACTTTTTTTATTTAAAAAATTATTAAAAAATAGTGGAGTTTGAAGGCAAATCCTTAAGCTTTAGCGGTATCGTTGAGGAGTTGTTCCTTCCTAGTAAACCTGAACAAGTTAAATCTCTCTAATGATTCCATTACCGACGGATTTTTGATATAGTTCTACAAATGTTTCAACTTCTTACACTTACTGATAAAGTGAAAACAACCCTGAGCTTCCTCAAGGCACTTATTGAGCTAGTTTCTAAAACTCAAATCTTATAACTTTCACTTAGATTAAAAGAATTATAAAACATTAAACTATGTCAATTTAAAAATTTAAGAATACACCATAAAATATATGAGCTAAAAATTTCATCTTACCTTATTTTAAATTTCTTTAATTTTATGAAGACAATAACTTACTTCATCTTATAGAATGATAAATTAAATGTTGTAACCAGAGGATAGGGCCAATATAATTATTAGAAAAGCAATTATGCTATTTTTATTATTTTAAGCTTTACACTTTGCAACATATTTGATATTCTAATAGTTTCCTTTCTAGTTCTCAAAATTTAACTTGAGTACATAATGTTTAGATTTCATTGTATAAGATTAATACTGATACCTCTAGAAATAATATAGGTGACAAAATTTATTGAAAATGATCTCATTTTAATTGTTAGCATGACCATAAAAAACAAGATAAGTTTAGCTGTCTTTTTTTTTTTTTTTTTAACTATGATCTTATTCTGCCCAAAAGTTTAATTGTTATCATTTTATATATTATTCTCTCCTATTGCCACAAGATGCAACTTAATAAAAAATAGATGAAACCTAGACTTATATCTAAAATTGGATGAAAATTACAAATTAAAAAATAACTAACCATTAAAATTACAAATACACTTCAAAGTATTATTTACAACAAAATTTATCAAAATATTATAAATTCAGAATAAATAATATGAAAATGGTTACATATCCTTTTCAACTTGAATGAAAACTAAATTATAATTGTTACAATTTTCAAAATTAATCTAAATTCTAACAGAGCAGTCTTCCCTATAATTCCACCAAAGATATGCTCCTAGAACGGATCAACCTTCATTTATTCTTCAATTTCATTTTCTGGAAAATAATTCATAAGGGTGAATATCCTCCGCCCCACTAAATCCTCTATCATATAAATGAATCAAGTAATACATATAATATTATTTAATACAGAATATATGTCAAAATAGTACTAGGTCATGTACTATATTAATGAACCTACAGTAGATCAAACATCATAACAATTGCCTCAACACATAACATTTCACACATAACCAAACTCAATCATTCAATCATTGACTCTATATCACTTTATTCATTTCATAGATCAACATGTCACACTAAGTGGTTTATAACTATATTAATCAATGAATTACAATACATGCATTATAATTATATCCGTCGATGTATCACAATACTTGTATTATAATCACACTAACCAATCCGTTATAAATCACCTATTATAATCACATATCTTACAATTCACCGTCATTGTTTCTAAGATCCTTTGAGGTCTTCTATAAGTATAAATAGTTGCTAGTTAGTCCTTGCACACAGATACAATGTATACAATAGAGAATTTCTTAGTAAAAGTATAGTCAATAATTTAGTCAGGAAACGAGTGTGAGACTATGTGATATATTCGCAATCAATAGATTGTGTATACACAAGCGAATGTCATTTACCACCCTGTGTTTCTCTTAGATTTTCCAAATCGTCTCCATATTTTATACTCCCAATGTATCTCTATAACTATCCATACACATTTTAGTCAGTTTTTCATGACAAATATTTCCTAAGCACTTCTTAATTATTCATATCTATTTCTTTTCATCATTTTTCTCATGATAGCACAATTTTCACTCTTTTTCTTTCTTTTCATAATAAAAATTCACCATACTACTTCATTCATGTACAATTAAATCATCAATCAATCATTTATATCAATTCTCTTTCATAATTTCCTTTAACATGCAACCAAAATTTACACTAATTCTTTTCATTACTTTTTACTAATAATAGATTTCATAATTAAAAAACAATCAAACACTCTTCATCAATCAATTTCATATAATACAAATCAATACAATATGCCGAAGGTTGAATACCTTCGGACTCAACCCAATTGTACATTTTAGAAAACATTGCTGGAGATCACACCCTCTCGGTCTTTATAAAAATCATCTATCTTAAGGTTTATCTCTTTTTCCCAACACATATACATACATATATATATATATATATATATATATATATATATATATTGAATAACACCTTTATGAAAATCTTCTTAAAAACTCATTCTTAAATGTATCATAGGTTTTCCATACTCAAAAATTCATTTATACACTGTAATTGTTAAGAAAACATTAGGGATCTGTCATTCTAAGCAAGAAAATCTGAATTTTAATTCAAAAACGTATAAATAGGAGTTAGGGTTTGGGATCAACTCCCCTTACCTGGATATGGGTCTCTCAAGCTGAGTTTATCTTAAAGATCCAAAGGAGGAACATGACGTTTTTTATGGAGGATATCACCTTAATGGTTAAGGTTTCTTGGATCTGAATGCAATAGAGATTTGAGCTTGGATTTGGAAGATATTCGGGGTTCGAAAGATGTTTCTATGAGAAAAGAAGGTAAGAAAATAGAGAGAACGAGAGAGAAAACTATTTTGAGGAAAAATAATGAAAGTTTCAATGTTGAGGTCCCTTAAATACTCCTCCACTAGCGACATTCTTGCCACAACGAGAGTTTTTCGCTAGAGGAAACAAATCAAATATCTTTTTTCCCTTACTGTTTGTCATTTTTGCTGCAGCGAGAATTTTTTGTTGTAGTAAGAATCTCTTTGCTCTAGTGAAAATTTCTCGCTCCACCAAGAGTATTAGTTGGGTCAACCTTATCCACTTCTTGCTACAACGAGAAGGCTTCAAAGAGCTTAATTTCTAGATGATCTTCCTCGCTATAGTGAGATATATCTCGCTACAGCGTGAAATTCTACACTAAAATTTTTATTTTTTTTCTCCATACACGAGCCACAAAATTGAAGGTGTTACACATTTCATTCATTATCTTCTTACATACTTATGTAACTCTTTTTTACTATTTTTTTTCTCAATTTTCAAGTTAGCAAATGTCTTCTCTAATTGAGAGCAATAAAATAATTTCATCTACTCTTGTTGCACTTGCACTTGTGAATAATCAATCATAATTGAAGTTAATCAATAATATATTTATAAAGAAGTTTAATGAACTATTGAAAGTCTCAATATGAAATAGGCTATTAAAAAAGCTAATAGGTCAAAATAAACTTTTAAAAAAGTCATGTTAGACTAACCTATTTATGAAAAACCTAGCTCAGACTAGTCCATTTCCCATCTGTAGGTAGGATTAGTCGATAACATTAAGTCATCTTAGCACCACATAAGATGTTTTTATTATGTTATATAATAAAGTTAACAAAAATGATTAATGTAAATAAAATAAAACCTCAAAAACAAAAAATGAATAAAAAAAAGTTAGAGAACAAAAGTGAAACTTATTCTAACATTAAAAGACAAAAATACTATTTTTTCTTAAATATGAAAGAGTTATATATTTTTTTTTCATTTCTAATTGATTAATACATGAGTTATAATTTTTATTTTCTAATATATAATTATATTTTTAATTTTTCTCATTTTCACTCATTTTGCACGAACTATTTCTTTTTTAATATAATATTTTCTCCTCTCTTATTAATGTAATTAGTTTATTCTTTTTAAATAACTCTTATTAAAGTTATTTTTTTAAATAACCAGTAAAGTTATTTTTTTCAATGTTTATTACATGCACCTTAGAATTAAAATTGATTAAAAATAACGTGTGAACTATACTTTCTATCATTTTACTTTTATAAAATCTATTTTAATTTTTAAAGATTAAAAATATTATTTAAATTTTTTATATTATCTTATATAAATTTTTTCTATTTTTTAAAATTTAAGTTTCACTTCTCAATTTCATAACTATTAATATATATATATATATATATATATATATATATATATAAAACTTATTTTAAAATAATTAAATTTTAATAATTAATATATATATATATATATATATATATTAATTTTATTAAATTTTTATCAGCATAATATTAGTTTAAAAGTTAAGTTTTAAAAATATTATCTATTAAAATAATTTTACTATATATAATTATTACTAAATATAAAATTTATACTTTAATAATTAAACAATATATATTTGTTTTAAAATAAAATATTAGTTCATTACACATACTACTAAACTAGTTGTTATCATTTATCTTTAAATATCTCTTAATATTTTTATATTAGATATAAATAATCCAACGATTTTTTTTATCAAAAGTTTAATAAAATATAAATAAAAATTACAAATTTTAAATAAATAGCTATCAAAAAATTATTAAAAAGCGAATGCTTACAATGTAAAAAAAAACCATGTGTATGTATTTATATATATTTTACCAAAAAAATATACATAGTCGGAAATTTGAATGTACATAAACCTCGCTCTTCTGCTGGCTGTCTCTCATCTCCCAACAAGAGCATAAACTGCCTCTTCAGACAACAGAGGAGAGAAAGGGTTCTGGTTTCAGCTGGTTGATTCGGAGCCCGAACTCGTGAGTGCGTTGTTCTTCAGTTGTTCGCAACAAGATGTCGGTGTTGATCGTAACGAGCTTAGGGGACCTTGTCATTGATTTGCACACCGACAAATGCCCTTTGACCTGCAAAAATTTCTTGAAGCTTTGCAAGTTAGTCCCCAATTCCCAAACCCTCTACGATTAACCTCTTTCGTTACAACTTTTCAATTTTGTTATCACTCGGCATTTCACAGTGTTCTTGATACTTCTAAAAGGAAAACGCAATTTAATGTTGTGAATGTTTGTTCATCGTCGTAACTTGTTATCTCTTGCTCTGAACTTGCTTTTTGATTTTGTTCTGTTAATTTTTTAATGCACTGTCATGCTATCTGCATATGTGGATGCTTGTTCAAAATTACAATATACTCTCTGTTGCTCTGAACTTCTTTTGAATAAATAACCCATAGTTTTAATCTAGAGAAATGCAAACTCTCCCTCTGTGTTTTAGTCTAGAGAAATGCTAGGAATAATCCCATAATTTTTTCAATGCACTAGACATTAGGGGTGTGTGTTAAGATGTCCCTCGTTGGCTAGGTCTATGGCCAGTATGCTCTTTATAAAAGCTTGGGCAACCTCCTCCCATGAGCTAGCTTTTGGGGTTGAGTTTTGCCCAAACTCAAATTTCAGAATGATTATTATGTATTGTTTTGCCCAAAAGCTTGGGCAACCTCCTCCCATGGCTAGGTCTATGGGTGTTTTGTTCAAATCATAATATGCCCTTATTTACCAAATCATTATATCTTAACATGTCCCTTTTTTGTTTTGGTATTGTGGAGCCAGGATTAAGTACTATAACGGATGTCTATTTCACACTGTTCAAAAGGATTTTACTGCCCAGACTGGTGATCCAACTGGAACTGGAACTGGTGGTGATTCTGTTTACAAGTATGTAACTGAAACTGCTTGTGCATTTAGTTACTGTCTAACATTCATTGGTTCCACTTTTGTTTAGTCTTTTTAACCATGTAGTTTCTGATGCTGTGTTCTCATTTCTTGCAATGACTTCCTCTTTTTCAGGTTTCTTTATGGTGATCAAGCTCGGTTTTTCAGTGATGAAATTCATATTGATCTGAAGCATTCTATGACTGGAACAGTTGCCATGGCAAGTGCTGGAGAGAATCTGAATGCTTCACAGGTATGACATGTTTTGGGGCAAGTTCATCATTGCTTTCCTGTTATTTCAGAGTAGTTGACAGATTACATGAAATAAGTTTTCAATTACTATTGGCTCGCTATAGTGGAGTAGTGGAGCAGTTTCCAATAGCAGCTATTGAAGCCTCAATGGCAGTTTTTTGTGCACTATACTGGTACCATAATATAAGCTTCAAAATCCCATTTTACCACTGAAAAAATGTTGTTTAGGACTTCTTTTGGTAAAATTGTGATTTCTCACCCATTTTCTAATGCATTTTTTGCTTTAGAAATATATTAGGGTTTGAAACCCTTCTTCATTGACCATTCACACAAGTTATCTCTGTTTTGACCTCTGTTCCTCACACTTTACAGGACTATTTTTTTTTTTGTGTTTTGTTTTTTCTTCTTTCTTTAGAGTTCCCTGTTCACATTCTGCTAATTTTCATATGGTGTGTTATGTTCCTGGCTTAAATAAGGTTTTGGTCTTTAAAATCTTTCTAATTTTTCCTTCTGGTCTCTCCTTTTATATTTTTTTCAATCTACTCCCTTGAAAATTGTTTTTCATTCCCATTTGGTCCCTCTATTAGTAATTTGTTAAGTTGTTTCATTATTTGTTTATATAACATTTAAGTTGGCTCATATAATTTGACTCAAACATAAATAAACGAGATGTGTTATTCATAACATCACATCTTTCATATTTTTTTAATGAAATTTTAAGTTATAAAGTTAGGACTTTTGGAATTGAGATTTGGAAATATGAAGGGCATGAAAGTATAGATGCCACATCAACAATTGCATCAACTCTGTCATATTATATGTCAAGTTGGATGTTACATCACTACATACTAGAAAAAAGTAACAATTAGTAATAGTGACTGTGTGGAAAAGAAAAACAATTTCTGGGAGACTTATTTGTAAAAAATTAATAGTGGAGGATCAAATGGGAAAATTGTTAAGTTTTGGGGAACAACAGGTCCATGATAAATAATAAGTCACAGCTGACACACACTATCACCATCAATCTGTTCTTATTGCTCCTGGATTGATGGTGATTGTGTGTTCTTATTGCTTCTGGATTGATGGTGATAGTTGTGTGTCAACTGTGACTTATTATTTATCATGGAGTTATTTTTTTTTAGTATTATGTGTAGTATAAATTACTTTGTATTATAATATTTAAAATAGTGGCCATCCCACTATCCCACTCTAGTGTTTTTAGAGCTGTTCACTATGCATCACTATCTGGGATTGATAATTATGTTACTATTTTGTTTCTGTTTTCAGTTTTATATCTCTCTGCGTGATGACCTTGATTACCTTGATGGGAAGCACACTGTAAGTATTCTATGCATCCTTGCTTTAATTGTTTCATTGGGTCTGTGTGCATCATTATGTTGATTACACTGATATATTTACTTTTTCTGGATTTGGATATAAATATAATTGACCTTTGCTAATTTCACTTCTTCTGCCCATTATAGATTTAATTTTTTATGTAGTCATTACAAAGGAATAAATTACAGAGCATTCAATTTTAAAATTTAATAATGACAATATTTGAGGAATACTTTTAAGCATTTTGTGTTTTACAAAGTTAACATGCTTATCATTTATAAGAACCTTAGGATCAAGGTAGTTAAATCGGGATTTAAATTGTGAATCGTATGACCTATTTTTTGAATCGTGAATCAAGTTGTATTTTGAATCGTAAGATTCAAGATCAATAATTTAAAACATAAAAAACATAAATATAAGAGCATTGTAACATAAAAAATCTATATATTAATATTTTAAAGTAAATAATATATCACTAACAATGTGATATACACTTGTAAGCAAATTAAGATTCACACTAATGACAACAATGCAAACAGCAAATAGTAAGTAGAAAAGAGAGGAGAAGCCAAATAAAAAAAAAAAAAAAGGAACCATGGCAGAGGGAGAGGGGACCACCAGAAATATTGAATAGGAAGTGGGAAGTTGTGAGAAAAATCACAATAATGAGAAAAATCACAATAATGTGTACGTGGAGGAAAGAGAAAAGGAAAGAGTGGGAATGAGAAAACAGGGTTTTCTTTTAAAATTACATAGTGGGTTTACCAACATAAACAATTTAAGGTAAAAATTGCAATAGGAATAGCATGCACATTGAACTGTGTACGTGGGGAAAAGAGAAAAGGAAAGAGTGGGAATGAGAAAACAGGGTTTTCTTTTAATATTACATAGTGGGTTTACCAACATAAACAATCTAAGGTAAAAATTGACTTTTTTGTAAAAAAAAAGAAGAAGATTTTTTAGGGTTTTTACTGTACCGGGTCACGCTGACCTGACCCACTTTTTGCGTGACCTGGTTTGCAAGATGAATTGTGCGCCACCCACGGAATCACATCTCAGCACCAAATCGATCAATTCATGCGATTTGTAAAATTGATTTTGGATTCAAAACGATACATATCTTGATTTGTATCGTTGCCGCAAGGATTCGTATCGAATTGGTAGATTTGTATCGCATTTTGTGCGATACTAACTACTGTGCTTAGGATAATCATACTACAAAAGCTAACCATTGTAGTTGAAAAGTTCAAGGCCTTATAAACTCATTAAAAGCACATACTTTCGATGTGAATCTCAAGTCCCATTTCTTAGCATGTCAGCAAAGTTAAAAATCTAATAATTGAACCAGCATTCATTCCTAATGTGTTATTGATTATATTCTTTTTGAATGAGATTCTTTATTTTAATGTTTAGTTTCATTACAAAATTAATTTATAATTATATTCACTCTTTTTGTCTTTGTTGATCTTATTATATGAAATTTTAGATGGGTTCTAACAACCTTGAGGAACCAATTTCCTACTACATTCCTTTGAGTTTCTGGGAGAAGGGTGTGTTAGGGCTATGGGTGAGGATATGGGCTCAAATGGGGCCAAACCCACACTATGGAAGGTTTACACTAGAAGAAAGAAGAAATGTATAGGCAAGGAGGGTGACGTGGCAAAAAGAGGCGTAAGTGGTTAACTAAGGAAGGAGTCTGTTATAGTAGCGGGGTGTGTGTGTGAGAGAGGGTATCTTTAGGAAATAAAGAAGTTAGTTATGGAGGGAGGGCACTAGCTCTCTGTAGGAGCCTAGTTTGGACAGTAGTACTCATTCTACTGTTTTTTCCTTATATCAAGTAATATCTGCTTCTTTTCCTCTTTTCTTTTTAAATTCCTTGTTATCTTTACCGGTTTGTATCGGGGTGGAATTACAATTGTACCACCCAGATGATCTTTTACCAAAGGTTTAACTCATTCTGTGTCACTAATTTGCAACTTCTGTATGATATGCCTACAATGACTGTTGGGTTTTTCATTGTAGAGATGCTGTTCCCCTTGAATGTTGCTCTCCATTACGTCAATGGAATATAAACTATAATAGGTTAGAAAAAGAAAAAATAGTTACTAATATAAATTAGTAGGGTTGGGTGTAAGAAATTATCAACAATCACTGTTGAAATTTTGAAAAGTCTAGATGTACATAAACTAATTGTTTAAATGATGTTGACAAGTAGTAGTTCTAGTTTTCTTAAAAATGTGACTTCTAGTGTTGTTCATTAGAGAACATTGGATTAGCACCTATAGTGGATAAGATGGTTGAAAATCGTTTAAAGTAGTTTGGTCATGTGCAGAGAAAACCTTTGGAGGTGCTAGTAAGGATAGTAGATTGCATGACTCTTAATCCAATAAAAAGGAGTTGAGGGAGGCCTAAAAGCAAGGTAGTTAAAATCCCGATTTGAATCATAAAATCTTACGATTTTATGATTTTGGAAGTCTCATCGATTTAAATCGTGGATAAAATCCTGGTTGAGTAAAATCGTTGTAAAATGATTTGAATCGTATAATCCCTCAAATCGTGGGATTTCACAATTTCACTTCGATTTTGAAAATTCTCGCAAAGCCTCTTTTGTTGAACCCTATCATAGTTAATGCCTCTTTCATATACCTCCTTTTTATAGAATCCAATTTGCCTCTAGCTGCTTTGAACCCTAACATTGTTGTCAAAATTCAACAGTTCTCCTAGTCCGTGCAGCCTTGTCTGCAATTAAACTCAGCAGTGTGCTACTGCTCTGAGTTCAAGTCTAATGCTGCTATTCTTGCATCTTTTCTGTTCTGGTCTATTTTTTACTCACGTTAATGCATTACATTCTTATGGAATAAATTATGATTTGTGAGTGTTACTTTGTCTAAGTGCTTTTACTGACTTGAATGTTTTTTTCCTTAATTTATGATATTTTATATGAATAATATAAATTTATATCATATATATGAATTTTATAAAATCTTACGAGTCGATTTACGATTTTATGATTTATGATTTTCACTCTCCTTTACGATTTAAAGTAAAATTCCGATTTTAACTACCTTACCCAAAAGAACCGTTGACGAAGTTATTAAAAGAGACCTTTTGATTAATTCGATTTATGAAAATTTGATTTTTAGTCAAGTTCAATGGCGTTGTGTGATTCATGTAGCTGATCTCAGTTAGTGAGATAAAACTTGATTCTTGTTGTAGTATTGTTCATTACTGTGAAAAGTCCTAATTTAAATAAACAGAAAGACAAAACTGAGTGTCTCAATATATATATTAAATATTGAATACTTTTGAGTTATGAGCATTTATATGTGTGCATTATGTATATTATTTGCATCATATCTGCTATCCTTTCTATAGCAGGGGCTGTCTGTTATTTGCTATACCATTACAGCAGTTTTGGAAGCAGTTGTTGTGCACCATTATTTAGGATTGACTACTATGATCCTTACTGCTTTTTGAAAAGACCTGACAGATTGTTTGTTTTTCTTGAGGCGTCAGTGAGGGACTAATGTGTGAGATGATGAAAAGCATTCTAATTTTGTGCTTTTCCTAGTGAATGATTATTTAAAAAAAGGCATGTTCTAGGCCAACAGAAGTGAAGGAAGAGCAATTGTTGGGGTCTGAGAATGTATTGAGCTTGAGCGATTACTGAATTCTATTGAAGTATTTACTCTCATTTGACACTATTGTTCCATGGAAGTTATTTCTTTGCGTTCTGACATTTGTTCATTATTACAGGTTTTTGGTGAGGTGGCTGAAGGATTTGAGACATTAACTAGAATAAATGAGGCTTATGTGGATGAGAAGGGCAGACCATATAAAAATATCCGGTTTATACTCATTGTTCTCTACTGTAAAATGAGGATTGAAAAATGTCGAATTTGTCTTCTTGAGACAAATGTAATGTGTTGATCTTCTTGAATTACTTGAACAGAATCAAGCACACATATGTCCTAGAGGATCCTTATGATGATCCTCCTCAGCTAGCTGAGTTCATTCCTGAAGCTTCTCCTGAAGGAAAACCTAAAAATGAGGTAATGGTTGATTACAACATTGTATATCATTGCTTGAAACTGTGTCAAATTTTCTCATGGGTTACTTGTTATTATTGCATGGTCTTTTAGTGAAGATGCATGAATATTCTCATTTTATATATTTTAACATGCACCCTTTGGTCTTGAAGTGTGGATAATGTGCAAGAATCTAACACTAGACCACTTTGAGGTTGGTCAAGGTTTATTAGAAGAATTAGCTACTAAGAATCTAACACTAGAGACCACTTTGGTCATATCAAGGGGAGTTCAAATGGAGGGACATTTCATCAATGGCTATTAAAGTCAAATTGAAGGACCATAATAATGGTCTTGACACACCACCTCATTTTAATCCAAAACCATAAGGCATTAGGTGTACAAGCCCTTGCCACTTACATTTTCTTGAACTTGTTTATTTCTATTCAATATGGGACTCTCACTCACACTACTTATAGTGCTGTTGGCTATTCTCTATCATCAACCGGATACACCAACTGATCTTCACGTTGCCTGAGACTTATGATATATGGATCCTTACATTGACCTATCATTACTACTTGCTGCTTTAGAGTTTGTATGATAGTAAAGTACTTGGCATGACATTTGTCCTATGGTGCTGTTTATGGTGTAATTTGTACTTGGTAATTCTTGTAATTTTCAATTAATAGTCATTGTCAATAGATATTTTATAGGATAATATTGTATTTTTGGCCTCACTTTAGCATTCTTTTCATCTTTCTCAGTTTGTTTCCTCCATAGATATGCATAGAAATTGGAGATTTTGTAAGCATAAAGGGTAGGATAAGAAATGATTATATACTAGGAGAGATTGAAGTAACACCGATTGAGGAGATGACAAAAACTCGGTTAAGATGATTTGGATATGTGCAAAGCAGAAAATCATTAAAAGGGATGTCATGGTAAATAGTACATTTGAAAATTTGTTTTTTGACCAAGTCTAATGGTGTCATGTGATTTATGTAGCCAACCTCATCTAGTGAGATAAAACTTTGTGGTTGTTGGTTAGAGGGGTAAGAAAAGAGAAATAGAATAATCGATATAAGAAAATTTAGAGAGTAATATCTGGATAAAAGTTTTTTCATTCCATTCAAATGCAGTGTGTAAAACATCTATATGTAGACTCTTAATAGACTAAATGTGGATTGTTTTCCAGACTAAGGAGTAAATGGGTGCAACTTCATGAACACTAATTCCTGAGAATATTGAATGTATTCTATCGTGATACATAAGCCACACACTATTCTAACAATTTTGCATTGATGTATTTGTTTAATTTCAGTGTTATTATTTCTTAGTTCAGGACAATATCTCATCCTCCCCCAATTTTTTGTGATTCATCTTCCATCGTAAATAAATTTTATTTTTCTATAAAAAAAAGCTTGGCATAAAGACCAAGCTTTATTACCTAATGACTGGATTCTTGTGATTGCAACTTAAAGTTTTTCTACTTGTCACTGTATGGCTATAGATGAGTATATATTGGGTTTTAATTGTTATGCCTTTAGAGCTCATTTGGTAGACATGAGCAGATAGGTAATGATATGATATGAAAGTTCGATAAGAATATGATGATTATTATCTTATGTTTGATGATGCACATTAGGATAATAAAGCAGATAATATATATAATCTTATCCAATGTTTAAAATGAACAAAAAATAATACAAGAAGATATAAATTATATTGAAATGAAAAAATTACCTTTTTTTTCACAATATAATTTTTAAAATGAACTTTTGAATATCTCATAGAAATATATATATACAATTACATTTTATTAAATGAGTAAATATTTTTTGATTAAAAATAACATTCATATAATATTAATTCCTAGCCCTCCACCTTCCTCAAGATAAGAGTTTGAACTATTAGGATAGGATAGGATAACTCAAAAGGATAAATTATCAATTCTATTAATTCAACAAACATTAGGAATATAATAGAATATGATAAGTTATCCCATCATTTTCTCCCAATGGGCCCTTGGTATATTTATCCATTCAAGCATTATAATAAATAATTCAACTTTACAGTTCAGTAATCATACCTTTTCAAACTTCAAAGTCATGACTTAATTCAACTTTACTAGGTTGATGATGAAGTGCGACTTGAAGATGATTGGGTGCCCATGGATGAACAATTAAACCCAGCAGAACTTCAGGAGGTTATTAGAGCAAAGGAAGCACATTCTAGGGCAGTTGTACTTGAGAGTGTAAGTATGATATCTAAAAATTTTAGTACTTCACGTGTAACTGTGATCCCATCCATAATCCTTTTCTCGCTTATTTTAGATTGGGGATATTCCTGATGCTGAGATTAAGCCTCCAGACAATGTATTATTTGTGTGTAAATTAAACCCAGTTACTGAGGTAAGTGATCTTTTTTGCTATGTTGTCAATCTGTGGTTATCATGTCCTCTTTTCCCCCTGATTTCTACCATGGTAGCAATCCGTACTTTTTTAGCTGCTAACCATTTTTCTTAAACTTTAGGACGATGACTTGCATACAATATTTTCACGCTTTGGAACTGTATCATCGTGAGTAATATTACAGTTGACTTGTCAAGACATCAACTCATCTACTATTAGTATTATCATATTGTTCATTTCTTACCCAAAATTTTTAATGATAGGGCTGAAATCATCCGTGATCATAAGACTGGTGACAGTTTATGCTATGCTTTCATAGGTTAGTATGCATCTCTTTTTTGTCATTTATGTTAGATTTGTACAACTTTAATTGTGTTCAAATGGTTCTTATTTTTTCATTGAAAAATCTAGCTTTTATTCCCTCTGATGTCATTCCTGGTTGAAAGTGCTACAATACAATGATCCTGATTTCTTTTTCTATTTCTAAATTGTGGATATACTGAACACATGTAACCACTAATTAGATTTTTGTTTGAGTCAAGTTTCGTTTTGTTTGTATATCTTTTTCCTCATCCCTTTTAGTGTGTATGCATACAGCCATACACACACTAACATACCAGCACAGGCTCACACATGTATTATATACCAAATCTAATTGTGTAACACTTTGGTAGTATGGTGCATTTGGTTGGAGCGTGACCTGTATTGTTAAGGTTGTTCCCATGCTACATGCTCAGCTTGGGATAAGATTAGGTGTTTGGCTTTTACTTGTTATGAAGAATTGCTAGGTTACTCTGCTAATTTTCTTTTTCCTTTCTTTTTGTTCTGCTATATTCTTTTATTATTCCTTGTCCTTCTTTCTCTTTGTAAATTAATTTGTTCTTAATGAATTTCATCTTTTATCAATATATTAATGAAAAACTCTATTTTTTTTTCTCTTTTGTGAAATGATCTCCAGATTACAGATTTCAGTTCCATCATGAATTTAAAAAGTAATAGCATAATTATTGATCATTTATCTTATTAAGACATCTTCGGAGTAGTTCTGAAATATATATCATGATCTTCCAGTCTACTTAAGTCCTATTTAACAAAGATTATTCAATTTCTGTTGGTGTTTGGTTAATATTTGGTATCATAAATTCTGACATTTTGCCCCTTCTACCTAGTTGTTGACATGGGACCTCTGAATAATTTTTTTTCAAGGAAAACTATCATCTGCAAGATTTTTACCTAAATGTATACTCACCTGATATAGTTTCATGCATATTTAGGAAGAAATGGTGGTTATTATTATATTATTCACAATAATTATTCCATGATAAATAATTGTTAATAGAAGTTATTAGAAAATTAAACTTAATTCACTTTCAAAAGCTAACTCATAGGAGGAGGGTTATTCAAACCTTATAAGATGTATTTTAGTCATATTCTTAACCAATGTGAGACATCTTAATACACACACCTTATGCCTAAGAATGCACATGCAGTCTGCGACTAGAAATTTATGGGTGTTCAACGTTCAAACTGGATGGGCTTTGACACCAACACAAAAGACTAGGGGCCTGTTTGGTTTTTGGAAACATTTCTTGTTTTCATTTCCTATTTTCACTTTTAATTACCCATCTGTCACCTTGTTTTTATTTTGTTTCTTGTTTTCTAAGATTTGTACAGGAAACAGTGAAACTAGAAAATGAAAACAAAAATCATTTCCTGAAACCAAACAACTCCTACCTTAACACTCCAAAAATTTAGCTCTACAGGGGAGGGTTGCTTAAGCTTTATAAGAAGTATTTTAACCGTATTACTAGCTAATATGACTACAAGTAGTGTCCTTAAACTCGGCTCAAATCGGTCGGTTGAACTGGTTGGTTTGGAAACTGGTCATGTAAGCGGTACAAGTTCTTAATCGGATCGGCCATGCTATCAAACAAGTAACTTGACCGATTTAAACTGAACCAGTGGGTGATAAATTTTAAACTTTTTTTGTTAGTATAGGTGCATAGTGCCCAACTTCAAGAAATAATTTACTTAAGCTTCAAGGACTGCCTTGTTGACCATGGCATGTAGAAGAACTAACGCATAACCACTGTGATAGGAACTCAATTAACTGAATCAAATTCAAATCCAAATAAAGAGCCAAAACTGAACTCAAAGATCAAGCAACAGTATTTTGCAAATTCACCAGACCAAAAGCTCCGAAACAACCTGCAATCACAGCAAGGTCCCTTACTGTGCCAATAACCCACTAACAGAAAAGTCTGCTCTATCATGCTATTCCCCCACCCTATATACCTCCAAATATTCTAACAAATTCTCCTAACTAACTTTTGCCACGTTGACATTCTCATCCTCCTGTGCCTTTCTTCTAGTATACACCTTCTAGACCTTGGGCCTGGCCAATACACAAACTCATCCATAGACTGATTGGACCTATCAATAGCCAGTGCTGAATCAACAACGTTGTCCTCACTTGCCCATACTCAGAAATCAGGCAATTGACTCTTATGAAGAAATTCATCTTCTCACGTGGCATCCTCTGCTGACATATCTTACCAATGCACCAAGTATTGGAGTTTCTGCTGGCCTTTGTTAGAAATGACTCTACTGGCCAAAATAGAATAAGGCTCAATTGTATCCTCAACCCCAAGGTCATGAAGAAGAGTAGCATCAACCTCTTAATTTCCCACAGCCTTTTTCAATTGTGAAACATGAAAAACAGGATGCACCTTCAAATCCATAGGAAGTTTCAACTGATAAGACACTTCTCCCAAGAGCTCAATGACCTGATAGGGCCCAAAATAGTGAGCAGCCAACTTTTTATGAATGTGTTGAGCAATTGAGTGCTGCCTATGAGGACAGAGCTTCAAGAATACCCACTCTCCAATAGAAAAATTCTGCATTTGCCATTTCTTGTCAGCAAAATGTTTCATTTGCACTTGTGTCACTGCTTGTACTCGTGATCCTCCGTCACCATACCTGACAACAGTAGGAGGCTTATGACCATAGAGCGTTTCAAATGGAGGAGTGATAAGTGGTACCTTAACTCTGCCCAAGACACCCAAAGGGACCAATTTCTGAGTTTCTCACAACCAAAGCAACGAAGATATGATTCCAAACATTGATTTACCACCTTTGGTTGCCCATCCAACTGTGGATGATAAGGAAGAAATCATCCGCAACTTAGTGCCTTGCAGAGAAAATAATTCCTGCCAAAAAACACTGATAAAGATGGGATCATGATCACTCAAAATAGACAAGGGTATGCCATGTAACGGAATCTCCTTTGCAAAAACCTTAGCTATCTTCTTAGCAGTATAAGGATGCATTAACAAGATAGTGTCCATACTTGGACAGTCTATCCACCACAACTAATACTGCATCATAACCTTTGGACTTTGGAAATCCAGTGATAAAATCCATAGAGATATCTTCCCAAACTGAGTGGGAATAGAGAGCGGCTGCAGTAAACCCTTGGGAGAAGAGGCTTCATATTTCTGACATTGACAAGTGTCACAAGAGTGAACAAATTGCTGAATTCATTTCTTCATTCTGATCCAATACAAATTGTTAGCCAGTCTCCTGTATGTTCTTAAGAATCCTGAATGACTAACAGTAGGAGAAGAATGAAATTCATGTAATAGAAGAGGAATATAAATGGAATTTGCAGGTAAAACCAATCTTCCATGATAATAAAACGCCATGTTGCATTGAATAACTTGGTCTAGAATCAGGACAATGCTGAATATCAGAAATAAGTTTTTGTAGGACAGGATCCCTTTGCACGACCTCTTGAATCTCCTTGCTTTGCTCCCAAATAGAGGACACCAACGCATTATATTGTCCCTCATCATGCAGTCGAGACAGGGCATCAGTGGCCTTGTTCTCTCTACCTGGTTGTATACTTCTTCAAAATGAAATCCTAATAATTGATCAGCAGAAACCACATGTTGATGTGCTTGAGACTTCTTTGATCAGTATAAACAACAAAATCCCTCCCCAATAAGAAGTGGCACCAATGTTGAATAGCAAGCACTAATGCAATCAATTCTTTCTCATAAATCAACTTCAAAAGATGACTTGAAGGCAAGGCTTTGCTAATATGTATACGATGTATAATATTTAACTAATGACCTACTGATTGAACCATTAACCAAGTAATTAGACCAAGTCAATAATCGGTCTGAGTTTATAACATTGACTACAGGTACAAAGTTGTTGTCAAGTAGTATAAGAATATCATATTCACAAGGATTGCTCTATTAAATATCAATTAACTGCAACCTTATTATCTAAATGCAACCAATTGACAAACTTAAATAGAAAGAAGGTAGAAAAAGACAAAAAGGATTAAAAACACAATTACTTTAAATTAAAAAATTCAAATTTTAACAAACTTTTAGGGATTAGTTTCACTGCTAATTAAGATTAACAAACTTAACTAAATTAGATCTTTTGTTATGGTCTTGAAGGCGAATAAAGTGATTATTATTTTCTCTTAAAATGCAACAATGTATTTAATTAAATTATAGTAGTCAATAGTGGGCATAGCAGCCGCTATCATAGTGGAACGGAGTGGTGTGGGCGCTTCTATGGATACCCAATAGCATTGAAGTTCAGAGGAGCGGCTGTTGCGCCGTGAATAGCAGTAAAAAATGGCAGAAATTGCGGCTGTCTCGACTGCTATTCTATCCTCTTTGAAACTCTGAACTTGCACTATGTTTTTTAATGTTGTGCAACTTTTAAGGGGGGAAACCTTGAGATTTTGCCCCCTTATTTTCTAATCTTCTCCCTCCCTCTTTTGCGAGCCCTAGCTTCTCATTTCATCTCTCAGCTTTTCCTCTCATTTCATCTATTTTCTCTATGTTTCCATTGCTTCTGGTGGCCTTCATCTTTGGCAAGGCTTTTGACGTGACAGGGATGTTCTCCGGTCATTTTCCTCATCTCCGATGAAGCCTTCAATGTGATCCAGATTGTTTTGAGTCATCTTCTTCAAGTTCAGCAAAGTTTCCGACGTCATCCAAACACTTTCTGGTCATCTTTTACATCTTTGGAGAACTTTTCAGAAAACCTGCACATTTTCCGGTGATTGAACATTTTTTTTTCTATTTTTTGATTTCCTTCTCTGATTTGAGTTTTCATTTTTTGTTTTACTCCAAATATGTATGTTAATTTTATATTTTTCAGCATGTATATGTGTGTATTAAAACTTCAGAATCACAGTCATCCTTCTACTGCTATTCCCACTATAGCATTTTTGAGGTTGGCTGCTCCATGCCACTATCCGAGATTGACTACTATGAATTAGATTAACTCTTACTTTCGTAATTAAATCCAATTGCACCCATTAAGTTCTTTGGCGATACAGTAATTCCTCAAGAAACCTAGCCTACTTTTATAGTCTTGAATCTTAGGTTCAATTTTGGGAGTTCCAATAGTAAGGTTCACCTTTTGGTCCTTTCTTTAACATCTAAATTCATGTAAATAAGGGGCCTAACAAATTTACAAGCATTAAGAATACCAAGAACTGAATCAAGACATCAAAATTAACAATAGATCATTAAGAATTCATTACAATGTCCATCATTCGTAATTTGGGCCACTCCCAAACCCTAGAGTAGGATTACTATTCATTTATCATTGCAAACCAATAGAATAAACCTAGACATGACTAAAGAAAACAAGAACAACAGAAGATGAGAGTAGAAACAAGAAAGCAATCAAATCTCTACCCTTTTAGGTATGTTTCTCTTGCAATCTTGTAGTAATCCTTTCAGAATCCTACCCCAAAAAGCCTTCACTGTCACTTCAATCTTTCTGGGTTGCTCTTTGGATTTTTTTCCAGCTTTTAACTCCAGGAATGTCTGAAATGGAGCCCTTATTTTGCCTCCTAACTTTTCTATTTATACTTCGGCATTAAAAACCCTTTTTATAACACTTTAAAAGCTGATAAAAACATGGAAATCATGTTGCTGTCACCTGATCCTTGGCCATGGGAATTTCCATGGCCTGACTTCTCTAGACCTTATTTCTGATTTTATTTCACGGACTTTGACCATAACTATGGGCAACTTCACTAGCTTCCATGGCCTGACTTCTCTAGACCTTATTTCTGATTTTATTTCATGTACTTTGACCATAACTATGGGCAACTTCACTAGCACCCCCTGACTCTTTTGGAGGTCCAAATTCCTATCTTTTCAACCTCAAATTGCTTCCCAAATCTCTTTAACTCTTCATTTACACATGAAACACAATGCAGTAGTTATCTGAATTAATTAAAGAAAATGAAGGCTAAATCTAAATGAAATGCATGATTAGCAAGCTTTTGGGTATTGATTTATGCTTGAATATTATGTTAAATACACACCTGTTACTAGTTGATGTGAGACATCTGAATACAACTAAAATAAAGGAATAAGTATATATATATATATATATATATATATATATATAGGGAGCATTTCAAGTGAGAGGAGTTTGTTATTATGAGAGGCGAGAGACTTTAATAATGGCCATTGAATCAAAATAAAGAGCTTAGATTTGATGTTGCTACCCCACTATCCACTTTCTTCTCTCTCTTGCCAATGACTATTATTAATGTCTCTCACTTCTCACTTTTAACTTGAAATGTCCCCTATATATATATATATAGTATTCCACTCCATCCAAATGGCCTAAAGAACTACAGAAGCATCCACCATATATCATTCTTCTGAAGCTGTTTCTATTAAATATTAATGCACATTTGTACGATTAAAATTGAGCTTCACACCAATTGAGCAACCATTATCAATATTTCATACTGGTTTCCTTCAAGTAATTATTGTTTTCATTTGGAAGTTGTAACTACTAATATTAGTGACCGTTTGTTTAGTTTATATTATAAAACCTACTCTGCAATTGGAAAATGGATGGTCTCTTTTTTTATCAATGCCATCAACAATATCTAATGTTTACTCATTATGACAGAGTTTGAGGACCAACAAGCATGTGAGCAGGCTTATTTTAAGGTATGCTGGAGGTTTTGAAGCATCTTTTTACTAAATGACTTGTCTTTCTATTTCTGGATAGTAAAGGTTTATGTTTTGCTTCATTCATATTGGATACTTAGTAGTTTTGTGTCTTCTTTTTCTCCATATCCTTGGTTGGCTTAAATATACTATGTTTACACTTGGTGAAGTTGCTGAAGGGTGTCTGTTCCATTAGGGAATCTTTCATTTTATATCCACAAATAATGATAATTTTGTTAATGTTTCGGCTGCTTTCTTACCTATTTTATTTGCTTTTTGGGTTATCCTCTATTTCCATTTGGATTGGGTTTTTAGATGTTCCATGTTGCAGAGTTGTTATTCATGAGTTTAAACAAGCATTTTTAATTATATATATATATATATATAGGAGCAGGATCTTCTCACACTAATATAAGTCTAAAAATTCTTACACTTGATTTGAGCCTTTCATTTAACTTATATCTAACAGATTATAATTTATTATTTTACTGACTAAGTTAAATGAAAGATTCAGATCGAGTGTAAGAGTTTTTAGACTTACACTAGTGTGAAAAGATTCTTCTCTCTCTCTCTCTATATATATATATATATATATATATATATATATATATTTTTTTTTTTTTTTTTTGCTTTGGTATGAAAAGAAAAAAACATTGTTCTCTTTTATTGCCCTTGAACTGCAGATGGATAACGCTTTGATTGATGACCGAAGGATACATGTGGATTTTAGTCAAAGTGTGGCAAAACTTTGGTCACAATACAGGCGGAAAGATCAAAAGGATAAAGGTAAGAGCAAAGATATTAACCAATTGTTTTTATGCTTGATTTATTTTGTGGCATTGTGCTAAATGCCAATGTTTGGTTGAAAAGAATAGCACCTTTCTCTCTCTAATTTAATGCAATAATTTATGACTGCAGGTGGTGGTTGCTTCAAGTGTGGTTCTACAGATCATATTGCCAAGGATTGCACTGCAGATGCTCCAATGAGACAGCAACCTGCAAAATACATCTTGAAGGATGATAACTCCCAACGTGGTGAAGATAATGCGAGGTATGCACTTCTGAATGCATGTGCCTGTCTCTTACTATCTCTCTGATTATGTCTATCCAAACAAGTGACAACAATTTCATGGCGTAGATATGAAATGGTTTATGATGGAGATAACTCAGAAAGTCCAAGGCGAGATGTAATCAACAGAAGGCATGACAAGGATGACCTGGTTGAGAGAAAAGGTAAGAAGGAAAATTTTGAGCATAGGAGTCATAGAGATCGGGAGACGGGAGGCTCAAACAACAGAGATAGGTATGGTGATAGAGGCAAAGGGCATGGGGGAAATGTAGATGACAAAGCACGATCTGGAAGAGGTGCAAGAGATTTGGATTCCCATTCTGACAAGAAAGACAGGGATAGCCATATGGGAAGACATAGAGATGATGATTACAAGTGGAAAGATGAGCGTGACTCAAGAAGCGACCGTGATAGCTACATAGAAAGGCTAGCTAGTCGTGATGATAGGACAAGAACAGATTCTAGCCGTATGGAGAGAAGGAATGACAGAGATTACAGGAAGAGACCTGAAGATAGTGGACGAAGGAAAAGAAGCCCTGATGATGGGGATTACAAATATAGAAGGGATGATGACGATTACAAACGTAGAAGGGAGGATGAGGATTACAGACATAGAAAGAAAGAGCGTGGACATAGAAGACGAGATGTTGAATCTGATGATTATCCTCATAGGAGGCATCATGGTGAGAGGAGATGATTATTGTGTCACTATATCGTAATGGTAAGCACAGAACATTTTGTCAATGCAAGTATAGGCCATTAAAGGACGGCTCTTCTTTGAATGGCTTTCATGGATGCCCTTTTTACTTTTTTTTCTTTTTTTTTTTTCTGGTGGAGCAAGATTATGATATGTTTTGGTTTTTGAAATATTCTATGTTGATTATTAGGCAATGAAGTCAATGATTTTAAATTTTTCTCAAATTACAACTTTTGGTGGAAGGGAGTGTTAAAACATGTTACATCACTTTAGAAAATCTATTATCAACGCTTGGTGCACAACATTACAATTTATTCCAGCGCTTAATTCGACAGGCTTTTTTTAATCAGAGTGTACTACAGTATATTGTGCGCTGAACGTTAAAATAAACAAAAAATGAAAGGAGGAAGATGGTAAAAGTGCAGTGCAGTCAAGACAGGTGTAATGAAGGAAGATCGGGCACTGTTGGTCTTTTTTTTTCCTTCATGGTTGAAATGTACGTAGGGAGTTGAGATGATTATAGTGCAGGCTACGGTGCACTTGTGTACTGATGCACAAGTAAAAGACTTTTTTGCCTAATTATTCAGAATAAATATACATTAATTTAATTATTAATATTGATTTTTTTTTTACACTAAACATATTAATATTGGGTCATAATAATTTATTTAAGAAATGATTGCATTATTAAATTTACAAAATAAATTAATTTTTTAGTTAATTTATCTTATTGTTAAATAATTATCTTCATTAATTTCAAAATTTTAATTCAGATATTCAATACGAAGGTTTTTCATGCGAGTTAAATTAACTTTAAACTTAAACAAATGAAAAAAGAAGAAGCAAGTATTCAGAAAGGGTGAGGACAATTTATAAGCAATTCTAGAGAGGTTATACTTTACGTTGATGATTGCTTAACATAGATTATGATCTTTTAGACTGGAGCCAGCAGTGCTACCCGACCCATTCGAGCCAGCTCATTGTAGGTAAGTTCTTCAAATATGCTTCAATTTATTTGTGCTAATCCTGTTAAGTACTTCCATCTAAACAAAAGATCTGACTTAAGAAGGTGCTTTGGATTTCCAAACGGGTTTGCTAAGGATAAAATAATGTAAGGCCAGCAATGTAAGGACTGAAGGAAATATTTGCAGAAGAAAAGACTAGAAAATCCATGGTCCAAACTCTTCTATTTAAATTGATTTAGACTTCAGAGTAGAGTAAAATTAAAAGGGGTTTGAGTTTACTTGTTTCTCTATTGTTCAAATCTCTAGAAATGTTTAAGGAATGATCTTAAATTCTTGCCGAAACTTTGTGACTCAGGACCAACCTTTTAACATAGTTATAATATTTTTTCCAGTTCAAAATAAGGTTAATTTTTGCACATCTTTCCAACATAAGAGTTAAGCTAGCTAAACAAGAATAAAAATCTAAACCAAAAACAGATAAGTCATCTATAAATATTTTAATTAAATTAAAAAAAATAAAAAAATATATATCATTAAAAGATTACAGGAATGTCACATAATTTAAGAGAGTATTTTTCTATAAGCAAAAATTTCAAATGGAAGTAAAAAAAGTATTTTCTTGATCGATTTACAACAATATAATTATATCTTAAATAATCATATATAAAACAATATTAAAATTATTCGACAAACTATTTTAACATTTTGTCCATAAATGATAAAGGAAAATAATCTTTTTTTATTACTTGATTTAATTTTCTATAATCAATATACTTTTTGACCTTAAAAAGTTTTAATGAGTATTATTTTCTTATTTTTATTTTTTTTAATTATTGTCATACCATCTTTTTTAAGTACTACCTAAATTGAACTTATCCAAACACTACTACAAAATAGATAAATCATACTTTCCTTGAACAATTTGATTACTTATTTTCTTATAACCTCTTTCACATGCTGAGAAACAGAATGATGTATAATACACCTGCACAAAAGAGTGGGAGATGATAACAAACATAACCTAAGTATAATAGCTAGCTAGCAAACATGATCATCTAACAATATAATTCTAGCTATACCATGCTGAGGCATCTAGTCATTGACCATTGCATATACATGAACGGTACAAATATCTATTACACCATACAAAATGTTGAATTCTTTGAAGCCACCCGAGAAAGTATTATTAATTTCCATTGTAAGTAAAGCAATTGGGTAATACCCAGATCACTTTTTCTCTAATAAGCAAAAACCAACTAGTATTGACAAGCAAGAAGCATAATGTGTACAATTCTACCCTATAATCCAAGTATTTATGCTTCATTCTTGCTCTCAGGTTTGATTCTTTTTTGTCTATTCAACTTCTGAGATGAAAACGAACCCTACAAAAACTGCCTCACATTAACTCTTCTTATATTTCACTGAACTAGTAATAGGCCTCATGTCACAAAATCGAGGCAAACTTCAAATTACCAACAAAACAACTACATAATCACAAACCACAGTATCTTTAAAGTACTTCTCTACTAGGATGGAAAGGAATTCATGTCCACCGCCAGTGATCTCAATGGCAACAGCACTAGCCAACTACTTTACAACATGATAACATTAACTAAATAATCATCAAACAACAAAGAAAAACAATTTCTTAGGTTTATTAAAATAAAATTCAAAGAAGAAATCCTTACCTTGTAGAAATCAGAGCGTAAGAAATGGATCCAACTACTGAAGAGCAATATCAAGCCCATTGTTAGCCGCTTAAGAAGTGATTGATTAGGAATCGTAGAAATGTTTATATTATTAAACAACAAACCTAACAAATGATTAGGGATTTAGAATTTGAGTGTTAGGAAAAAAAAAAAAAAGCGAGCCTAAGTATTTGATTGAAGCTAGAAGGTCTGGATTGAGATAAGCCATCTAGTCACATTAGTTGACACAGATGAGAAGAGACTAGTATCAAATTTTGTAAACCAAATCCAGTTAAAAAATAAAGTGGCCTATGTGAATGATTTTATTAAAAATATTAATTTTAAAACATAATCATACTTCCCAAAGTGCCTATAAAAGATCAATTTCACCTTTATAAAACAATGTAAAAAAAAGACAAAAAATATTTCATATTCTTTAATGCTATGTAATACTACAATTATAGTAAAAGAGAATTTTACTTGAATAATTATGAGAATTGTTTTTTGTAATTCTTCATACTATTTTGGATACATGCTTATATTCATTTATAATTATTATATATGAGACAAATAATTTTTTAAGAAAATTTTCTATTTTATTTTCAATTTATCGCACTTTTTCTCATAAATTTGGAATGATTTTGAATAAATTATTCTTCTTATTCTTGTAATTTTGTTCTGAGATGTATAATTCTTGAATTTGGAAAATATTGAATATTGTGAGCTTCAAACTTTGTACAAGATGCTTTGTTATGAGTGCTTTAGATGGAGTAGACATTCCTTGGACCAAATGATCTTTTCAAATGCTTAGTCTAAGGATGCTTCATATGATACAAATAAGTTTCAAATAAGTGTGCAGTATCTGTTCAAACGTCTGCTTAAGCATATATTCAACTTCCAATCTCGCAAACTTAAATAATCTTATTCATTATATATTTCATTGTTTGGTTCATTTACACAATCATAACTTGTAATATAGTTTTATTTATATCTGAATGTGTGGTCATCATTCAAATTTTTGGGTACCAATAGATTTCATACCTTTTTAGTTCTAACAAACCAAACTTACATCAAACACCATAATATCTTCTAAGTTAGCAAAAACCGGAAGATGAAGTGAAGTTAATGAAAATCATTGATACAAACTGGTAGACTATACTTTGATTCAAACTTTCAAACAAACATGTTAAAAGACTGAATAGAAAATTTAAATTAAACTTAGAGAACTAAATTTAATAAAAATAAATTAGAGAATTAAATCAAAATATAAAATAAACTTTGGGAAAGAAAATTAGAATTTAACCTATATTATGAAATCTGAAACGGATCAATGACTACAACTATAGTACTCATTACGGTACAACAAATGCCCTTCACCCAACTTCATGAATGAATGAATGAATGAATAATAATAATAATAATAATAATAATAATAATATTTTTAAATATTAATTATTAGTTAAATAATCATATAAAATATTAATATAATAATACTATGTAAAACATAAATAAAATATAAAATGACCAATTGAAAACTATTAAAATTCATAATAATTTACTCAAATACAGTAAAATACACACAATAAAAAAATTTAAAATTATAAATAATTATAAAAATATATCAGAAAAATATTTAAATTTTAAGCTTAAATGAAATTTTGGTTCCCAAAACATTTATAATTTTTTTTTATTTCCTATTTTTATTTTTTTTTCAATTTAGTCTCTTAAATTATTTTTCATTTTCAGTAAGTCCCTGTATTAATAATTTGTTAATTTTTCATTATTTGTTAAAATAAAATTCAAGTTGTCTGTCTTGTATAATTTTGAGTGAGATGTAACATGAACAAGATGTATCATTAATAACATTACTTTTTAATATTTCTTGAATAAAGTTTTAGTTTACAAAGTTAGGTCTTTTGAAAATTGAGATTAAAAAATATAAAAAGAATGCAAGTGTAGATATCATAGCATTTTAACTCTATGTTAAATTTCATGAATTAAATTTGATGTTACATAAATACTTATTAAAAAAAAGTAATAAAATATTAATAGAGAGATCATATAGAAAAAAAAATGATTTAATGAAATTGTTTATAAATAAAATAAAATTTAGGAGACAAAATTTCATTTATATCTAAATTTTATTATTACTAAAAATTTAAAATTAATAGCCTCAATATATCATTAAAAAAATTTAAAATGATAAATACTATTAGTCCTATCGATTTAAATACATTTTGAGAGAGAAAAAAAATTGTAGATATTGGGAAAAAAAAAAGTTCTAAAAGGTAAAACAGGATTTTTTTTAAAATATTATAATTTAAAAATAAATTACTAAAATAGAGTTTTTTAAAATATTATTCTTTTAAGTAATTTTTACCACATCACTATTAGTGTAAGTATTATAAGAGCTAATATTTATTATTTTAATAATAAAAAATAAGTTTTGGTATATAAAAGTCGACACTTATCGTCTAAAAAAAGACTGATACTTATTTTTATATTATTAAAAAAATAATAAAAATAATTTTAATGTTTCAATTATCATTTGCTGAAAATTGTTTATAAACTTTTTAGTTATGGATTTATGTCTCTCTTCAGCCCCATTTCATGCCTTTCTCAAATTCCAAAAATTATATTCTATCTTTTTTGTTACTATTTTTATCCATTAAAAAGAAAATCAATATATATCTGATGAGTCTACATCGTATATAGAGCGCTCAAGCTTTAAGCTGACACAGTTTTTTTATCCATCGGTCCAATATATATTGGCTCATCTCATGGATGGAGGACGAAGCCAATTGTGTTGTTATTATTTGAGGCCTCTACGCATTCCCTCATCGCATTCTCTTCTCCCCTCCGCATCCTCCCACACAGAAAGAAATAGCACAATACTTTGCCTAACCTATAGTATATTTGATTATCTTTTTAATAATATAAAAATAAGTATCGATCTTTATTTGAACAATACTTATTATTAACTTTTATATATTGATCCTTATTTTTTTATTATTAAAAAATATAAATATTAGCTCTTATAATGTGGACACCTATAGTAACGTGGCAAAAAAATCTTAAACAGGTAAAATATTTTGAAAATTTTTATTTTAATAATTTACTTTTAAATTTATAATATTAAAAAAAATTGGTAGAATATAAGAGTATTTTATAGTAATATTATAAAATAAAAAAAACCCAAATAGAATGGAGCTCATTTTAATTACCTAACTAGACTCAAATTTTAGACAACAATTTTGGCACCCAGAATTCGGTTCTCTAGAAATTGAATTCTGAGTTGCTCTTTTTTTTTTAATTTATTTTATGTTTTTATATAATAAAATAAATATTATAATTTAAATTATATTTATATATTTATATTTTATTAAAATAAATATTTTCTTAGTTATATATAATAAAATAAGTTTTATTATTTGAATTATGTTTATATTTTTATATTATTTAAAAATGAATAATAATAACAATAATATTAATTTTAAATGTTTATTAAAATATATTTGAAATATTTAAGAAAATAAATAATATTTTTAGAAAAAAATAAATAATTTTTTAAAAACTGATTAAAATAATTAAATAATAAGTAAATTATTTTAGATAATTTTGAAAAATTAACTAAAATATTTAAATAATAAATATATTATTTTAGGTAATAATGTTAATGTTTAGATTATTTATACTTAAAGAATAATAAATATATTTTTAAAAATTAAATAAATATATTAAATATTATTCTATTTATTTATTTATTTAAATATGTAATTTTGATTTAATATTTTTAAATATTAGTATGATAAAATGGTATTTTGAATAAAAAAATTTATTTTAATTAAATTAGTTTTTTTTAAATGACATTATTTAATATTATAATTTTTAATACCCTAAACCCTAAAACTTTACTATTATAATTTTGAATAAATTTTATTTGAGAATAAAAATTTATTTTTTAAAAGTAAATAAAATATTAAATTATAAGTTAATTATTTATAGGTGAGACAAATATTTTGAAATTAACATTTTCATATTACTAAGGTAACATTGATGAAGACAAAATGCATTAATAAAGATAATAACAAATTCATATCAACATTAATGATTAACTAGTGACAAGTTACACAACGAGGACGACGTCTGTGACATGGTGAGTTTCGTCGTTGTGGTTGTTGCTCTAAAATTTCAGGATGAACTTGTGGAAGATTTGGATCATCATAAAGGTCTAGTTGTTGGAATGCATTTAATGAATTACTAGGTTCATTAACAAAATCCAGTTGGTAAAGAGACTGCATATAAGTTTGTGTTGAAAATCGAGTTATAAAATCAACTCCAAATAAGTTTGTAAAAAAAAATTCTCTGATGTTATCGCAAACAAATGTCTTGTCTTAATTATGTTTGCTTCTAGCGTAATGTTCGGAGGAATTGATGTAGTCTCGTGATACGACAGTGTAGAAGTCGTACCGATTTCAAATGTGTTGGTGGTCTTTAATTGTTGGTCACTCCTCGTTGGATCTTGTAGTAGTGGTGGCACGGATAAGAAATAGATAGAATTGACATTGTACCATTCCATGTATTCTTGTGTGTGACACAATGGACCTTGCATTAGATGACCCGTTATTGTCAGTTCACGTCTGTTATTCTATATCTCGATCCATTGAGCATGTCTTGTAACCCAATTTTCATCATGTCTTCCTCTCATGTCAATTTTGTGGAGGTCATTCAAATTATTCGGTGGAGAAGGGACTTCTTGGAAGAGACGAAACTGTAATTTGACTCTATTTATTTGGTGTCATTCAAAAATTGCAAAACAAATGATGGCAGTACATGAAGTCCACAGTTAGACATCTCTATATGCTTCCATGGGTATTGATGTTTGCAAGTCTTGATATGGCGCCTATAAAAACTACAAAAATATTTAACTTTGTTACTTAAAATGATGTGTAAAAGATAAGAAAATAAATATGAAGAGTTACCTGATTAACTTGAATGTGATCAAACATTGATCTGTACCCCACAACATTATTGTGAGGTTTATTTTGAAAGTTTAGTACTCTACCTCTGCTCCATCTGCACATGAGAGGGTATATTGGTGGATTACTATAAATTGACGCAATATATGACATGCGATACCATGCCCAGGACATTAATAGTGATGAGCAACCACCCATTGTTTTGCTACCAACTTCTGTGGCTCTACACATTTCTCTGTACAACATAACAAAACAAGCAGAACCACAACTATATCGTATTGTTCTTCTAAGATTAGTTAATAAAACTAAATACATAAGATGTACTTTGTTGCCTGTTTTGTCAAGTATCAAAACACTTCCAATTAAACTTAGTATATAAGCCCTACAATGGGCGTGAACTTCTTTTTCAAATGTTGTTGGACCAATGACTGGTAAACCATCAACTCTTAGCCCAAGTTGAAGTGCAACATCCTCCAAGGTTATGGTACACTCCCCTATTAGAAAATGGAATGTGTGAGTTTCAGGTCTCCACCTCTCGACCAAAGCTGTTATCAATGCATGATCTACCTTAAGATGCCTTAGCTTTACTACTCTAGCAAAACCAAGTTATTCAAGTATAGGAACAATTAGAAGACTGAGTTCTGACATTAAATGACAGAAAGATGAAATCATGTTTTCAGTTTCCTGCAGTTATTAATAAATTAGTAACATTATATATAGAATATTGATTTACATATTCAGTTAATAATGGTAATGTGTAAAACTTATCGTTCTTCCAATGAAGGCAGACCTGTGTTCATTTTACTTTCAGAACAACATTTTTAGTAATGAGAGTAAAAATAAAAAGAAATGAATAACAAAGATGGATACAAGTTTGAATGAAAATATGTGACATTATATGAACATATTTATAGATAAACTTTGGTACGAGAGAGTAACCTTAGAATTTTGAGAAATCACTATCCCTTAGTCTGTGTGACTGAGAAGTCACTATCCCTTGGTCTGCGTGGGAAGTCACTATCCCTTGGTTGCAATAAGTTCTTCATTGACAAAAGTAGGAAAGTAGATACAATGATTAATGTTGGACATATATACTTAGAGGTTGCAACTAAAGCAATTCAAGATGCACAGTCAAAGATAAACATTCGTAGACTCTATCACTTTTGACAGAACAAACACTAGATTATTAAATAATATAATATTAATATCATTTTCAAAAAAGCAAAATTATATTAAATAATATAATAAGAAAAATAAAAATATTATTTATTATTTTAAATATATCAAATAAATTTTAATAAACATTTAAAATTAATATTATTAGTATTTTTATTCATTTTTAAATAATATAAAAATATAAACATAATTTAAATAAAAAAACTTATTTTATTATATATAACTAACAAAATATTTATAGATATTTATTTTAATAAAATATAAATATAATTTAAATAATAATATTTAATTTATTATATAAAAACATAAAATAATAATAGAGAACCGAATTTTGAGTGCCAAAATTATCGTCCAAAATTTGAGTCTAGTTGGATAATTAAAATGACATGAATTTTTTGTTTTTTTAATATTGCTGTAAAAATCTCTTGAACATAACACTTTTTTATTTTTTATAAACACAAATTTGAAACTTCTTAGAGACGCACCACATTGATATTTCAATAAAATTTTCGCTTTTTTTCTACGTCTCTTTTATTTGTTTTTGCTCTGCTTTTTAGGCTTTTCTTGACATTCTTCCTTTACTCGGTTTTGATTTGAGATTCTGAGCCGAAAACAAGTTTTTCTATCTCATCTTCTTTCAGTTTTATTCTTTAGTTATAAACACTGATATCTCAGTGTAACCTAACTTAAGCTTCTTTGTTGGCCTCCTTTCGCCGGTGGTTGTTGCTTGTCGCGTGAGCACAACGCGCTGCCTTGTTCCTCAGTCTCTTGATTTTGGGTTCTCTTTTCAGTGAGGCTCTGATACCCTTTTCTCTTATAAGTGAATGTCTTTGCAAATACGTTGATGTCAATGGGTCATTTTACAGCTTATCATATTTTGCAGTATTTCTTGAATCCCAAAGTTGCAAAGGACCCAATACCACACTAACAAATTGCTGTGCCTCAAATTTTTGAAAAGGTATTGCATTTTTCTTCTTTATTTAAATGTTTATTACTCCCTCCTTTCGTTTGTACAAGAATCAACGTCTCGAATAATACATTATTGTTGTTGTTATTGTTATTACAGGCACAACCGTCACGCGCAGCTCCTGTTACTATAGTTCCAGCGGTTCTGTCTCTTGTAAGTGATATTTGAAGTCAACGGAAGTGTATGATTGAAGTTGTTGTATAAATGAGTTGACGTGTATGAATGAACAAAGACAAAGCCTCCAAGTGTATGATCGTGTTCTTGTGAGAAGAAAGTGCATATATATGTAAAATTTTATGTGCGATATGGCAAACAGCAAATATGAGTATGTCAAGTGTTTTGAACTTGAGGATGAGGTCATGTTTCCCAATATAATCCTTGTTTGGATCGGTGGCTGTAACCTGCACAAACCTTACGATGTAAATGCCTTGAAACTGATGAACTCTTGTGCTGTTGCGGTTCTTGAGGAGTGTGCAGATGTAGTCCTTGCATATGGGTTTGGCAATGAGTATACTTTTGTTTTCAAGAAGACCTCTAAGTTCTATGACAGACGCGCTAGCAAAGTACTTTCCATAGTTACTTCCTTTTTCTCATCTGTCTTTGTGAGAAAGTGGGGTGAATTCTTCCAGGAAAAGGAAATGTTGTATCCTCCGTCCTTCTATGGGCGAGTCACGGCTTGTGCATCCATAGAAGCTCTTCAAGTGTATCTTTTGTGGAGGCAGAATATTTGTCATTTGAATGATCTACATGATCAATGCTTTTGGCGTCTTGTTGAAGATGGAGAGAGTGAGAGGAAAGCATGGGATGAAATCAGGGGTTTTGACAAAGTAAAGCTAAACAATCTTTTGTTTGATCGGTTCAATGTCAATTACAATACGCTGGAGCCGATATTCCGGCAGGGGTCTTGTGTTCTAAAGACAATGGTAGAGGACATTGTGAAATACACAGATAATGGAACTCCAATTAAAAGGCACAGGAGAAAGATAATCGCAGTGCATTCCAAGAAAATTGCAAGTGCAAGGTTTTGGAACGAGCATACTGTTCTTTTGAATGAGCTTGGTGGTTTTGTTGGAGAGGTTAACAATGTGAATCCAGAGTATGTGAAGTCCTTTGAATTTGATAGCAAGTTGCTGCCATCTACATGGATTGTAGTTCGAATAGATGGATGCCACTTCCACAGATTTTCGGAGATACATGAATTTGTGAAACCAAATGATGATAGAGCTCTTAACTTGATGAATTCATGTGCAGTGGCTGTCTTAGAAGAGTTTTGGCAGGATATAGTCTTCGCCTATGGGGTTAGCGATGAGTATAGTTTTATTCTTAAGAAAACCAGTAATCTTTATCAACGGAGAGCCAATAGAATAACTTCAGCTATTGTGTCTTTCTTTACATCCAGTTATGTGATGAGATGGAAAGATTTCTTCGCACAAAATGAGTTAAAGTACGCTCCTTCTTTTGATGGACGAGCAGTGTGCTACCCATCTATTGAGATTCTGCGAGACTACCTTTCATGGAGACAAGTGGATTGCCACATCAACAATCAATATAACTCTTGTTTCTGGAAGCTTGTTTCATCTGGTAAAAGCAAAAGGGAAGCACAACATAGTTTGAAGGGTTTTCAGTTGCAAAGTAAAATTGAGGAATTGGCTATTGACTACAATAAATTACCAATAATGTTCCGACAAGGATCCTCAGTTTTTTGGGACAAGTTAGACAGTGGTCTCATTCATTTGGAAAATGGAGAGTCTTCTGCAAGTTATGGAAAGGTTGTTGTAGAACATGTTGACATTATTGGATCAGCCTTTTGGTTGGAACACCCTCACATCCTTGAAGAAAAGCTGTACTTGTAGTATAGTATTGAATCAAATAATTAAAATTTCATAACTATATTTTTTGCTGCTGGAAATTTTTATTAGTTTGATTTAATATTCTGGATTTTATATTTGTATTTCCTTATTTAATTTACATGAATTCAGGAAGTACTACTCTGACGAGTTTGGTTGCTGAATTACAAGATTCAACCATGGCAACCAAATTGCACTGAACTCTAACCTGCAATTTATTATGAATAAGAATTGAACGATTCTCATCTGCACTCTTTGCTTCTTCTTGAGGACTAATCCTTTTGTTTCTGACTTTCTGAACTTGTTTTATGGCGATTCTTTGTTGAAGCTCTTGCTACACACTGGTGTTGGGATTTTGGTTCTGTTTTGGGTCGTTTTTTCGTTGTGTCTATTTGTGTGTGTATCCAATACTTCTGAGAACAATCAGTGTTAGTAATTTCCAGAAAAAATTGCAATCCGCATGATGTAGATATGCATGCTGATATTAATGGAAATGCGTTTACTATAAAATGATTTTGAGATTTAGTACACTTAGATGTTGTAATTTTTAATTATCTCAAAATTTATAATGCCAATCCTAAAACAGTTACTTTTAGGTTTTAGATATCATCAGAATACCTTACTTTAAGTTCAAAAATCTCAGCAATTATCTCTGCCTGATATTTGTAAACTGTGTTATGACCCATAGTTTTTTAGAACTTAACGCTAAGTGGCTTAGTTCCTGATGTATTGATCCAATAAGAGAAATCTCTCCTCTGCTTGATTTTGTGAGCAGTATCTTGCTTGATTTTGTGAGCAGTTGTCAAAATTTACTTAGTTGGTCACTGAACACATCAACCAGAGAATACCTGAACAATGAATAGCTTCAAAAAAGAAAGCAAATAGATGAATGGTGGGGCCAAGCAAACAAATGTTGATTAAAACATGATCATTTCATAGTTTAGCATATCACAATGTCAAATCACTACATAATTGTTTGTCACTTTGTTGTTTATTGATAAGGTTCATTTTAAAATATGAATGTGAAGAAACATATGCTGATTACTTGGCAGTTTCTTTTCTTTTTCCTAAAAGTTGATATGCCTTCTTATGAACATGGAAGGACTACAATTAATTTGTATTGCGGATTACCTGGTGTGTTAACATATAAAATTTTCATGCTTCCAATACATGGAGAAGATTTGATGGAAGGTCACGTTAGAATTAAGCGCATGCTTCTTGTCCTTCTCATCTACATTGAATATCCTTATTTTTCTTAGTTAGCAGATATTGTAATCTGTAGTGTATAGGAAATAGTGCTTGTAATTAGCGTTACAATTACTGCACTCATGGACTAATCGTGTATGAAAATCACATTAGTGGTGCGCTAACTGTAATACATAATTCCTTAACCTCTTCTTCCTTTATCAGTTAACATATGGTGTTAAAGATGCTTCCTTCCTCCTCTTTGCATTTTCTTTATCGTTTTTATTTATCATTATTGTTCTAATGGTGTTATTATTTGTTCAAATAATTATATAAAGAACAGCAGGTAAACCTTCATTGACTGACTTTGCAACATTATTATTGACTTATTACTTCCATAGAACATTTTATAAAAAAATAATTGATCTTTACATTGGTTTAAATGAACATAATTTCTTGACTTCTGGGAGATTTCTGTAATTAATTTTTCTTTAGCTAATGTTTTATTTTTCTCTTTTTTTTTTTTTTTCTGTCTTGGTTAATTTTGGAGGAATGAATATCCTCCTCATGTGCACTCTTCTTATATGTTGGATGTCATGGTAAACCTGAAATAGTTACTGTGGTTAACTCTAATTGTTACTTAGCTGCAGGTTATACTGTTTCTTGGTAATTAACTTACGTATAGGCACGGTCTTGTAGTTCTTCTCCTGATTTCTCTTTCTTTATCTTGGTCTATCGCTTGTTTTCTCTCTAATATAATTTTTCTTAATCTTTTAATTATGAAATTCCTCTTTAGCAACACTCTATACAGATAGATACATTAATGCTATACTCTGCTCTATAATTTTTGACAGTTTCTTGAGTGAAATGTTTACACCGTAGTTAAATGACCATTTTAGTGTTTGCTCAATTCTGTCATTCTAATACACAATTGAATTGTCAGGGGATAGAATGATGGATTATATGAATATGGATGAACGCTCAATAAGGATGTTTTGGTTGGTGACCGACATAATCAATGATTAATTTCTTATACAGGACAACAAACAAAATTCTTAAATATTCTTGTTACACTTAAAAAAAAATAAAATGATTCTCTAGGTTTCCTCTTAATTGGTGTCAAACACCACAAAATTCTTACTTTATGCATAACTCACTACTCAAATGCAAATCACTGGCATCAAATATTACCAAACTAAGAGGTATAACCTATCAATTATCGCCCTATTCAAGAATAAGTAGTCCCATTTTTCTGTTATAAGCATTAGTTATTCCAGTCTTCTTTTTCAAAACTTGAAGTACTAAGGTGTTTATTATGCCATTGATGTCTTATTTACCAATTTTAGAATTAAAGTAATTAATATTTTTTTTGCTATTAAGTAATTAATATTTTACATACATATAACATTGACTTTGAAACTTAATTTAAAACCTTTTCATATTATAAGTTAAAATTATTAAAATTAATAATATGAGTTCAAACTTAGACATTGAGAATAAAAACAAAAAGAAAAATAACTATAAAATAAGTTTTAATCTAAAGTTTATTATCATTTGATTTTTATTTACACAATTTCTTATTTTTAAGGCAACATTTAATGCAAGGAAGACTTTTATTTTAAACTGATTTAATTTTCACACTATTTGCAGATTGGTAAAATTAATTTTATTTATAATAGTTAATAATGAAATAATTATTAATTGGTTGTAGAAAGATTTATAGAAATATAAATTATAATTTTTTATGCTCTCTATAATATAATAATATAATAACTAATATTTATAATTAAATGTTCTTTTATATTATAGTAAAAACATATTATATCATAAATAAATATTTGGTTATGTATGATTATTGAATAATAGTTATATTTGAAGAGAGTGAAAAGTATGAAAAAGTGGATAAAATAGTAATAAAAATTGAATAAAAATTGAGATTCAATTTTGAAATCAATGATTAATTTCTTCTACAAGACAAAAGGCAGGAATCTTAAATTTTCCTGTAGTACTTCAAATTTATTTATTTTTTTCGTTTCTCTAGGTTTCCTCTTTATTGTGATAAAACACCACAAAATTCTTAGTTTATCGGCATAATTCACTACTCAAATGTAAATTATTAGCATCAAATATAATCAAATGCAAATTTATATTCTTGCAATCATTTACTACCACAGGAAGTATGCAATTGAAGTTTTGGTTTGAAAAATAAGAGAAATGGTCAAATACTAAAATAATTTTTGCAAACTTTAGTATATCTTGAATTTAAAAAAATAAAAGTAGAAATGAGAGAGATGAGAATATACAAAAATTTATACTGGTTCATCACAAACATCAAGGTACGCTTAATCCTTGATATGAGATCAATAATTTTACTATTCCTCACAACAACTTAATAAATTTAAAACTCAAGTATTTTTTAACAAGACTCTTTAAACTTAAATAAACTTCAAGAATTCTAATATTTCTTTTCAAGAGATAACTCACTTGCTATGAAGCCACCACTTTTGGGCTTGTCAAGCCAAGAAATAGAAATATCAATATAGTGTTTCAACCATATGTAGTTGTCACACTCTTAAACAAAGTCCACAAATGCTGAGAAACCTACTAACAATGCCTCTACTTACTCAAGGAATTTCAAGAGAAAGCTCACGCTAAAGACAAGAAATATTAATAATATTTATGTCCATACTAAGCTTCATGTTGAATTGTCCAACTAACTAAAGTTTATAAAAAAAGTATACAGTTATTGTATTGAAGTTATAAAAATACAATAAATACTTCTCTTTCTTATAAAATTTTTCTATTATTACCAATGGAAGTTGGTCCGAGTGGCAAGTGACTTGGTATATGCAAAAAATCTCTAATGGTAGACTCATCCACCACATTACGCGACCTGGATTGAATCTAGATTAAATCGGATGAGAAACAAAAAAAAATACTATTATTAGCTACTTATCATCAATTCTAAGGGTTGAGATTAACAAAACTTTTTTATTTTATATGAATTATTTTCTGTACAGGAATGTATTTTGGAGGACAAGGACTTAATCCTTGTACTTATATCATCTTTTGTTTGAAAAGAACTTGATGAAATATTGTGTAAGATTTTATTTTGCAATAAAATTTGTCTCCATTATACATATATTGTAATATCAATATATAAAAAACCTGATTCCTTGATTAGGATCATGCATTATTGACTAAGTGACATGGTAAATGGGTGATCACTTGGCTTAGAGCCTCATGCTATTGGAGGTCGACTTGTACTTTGTAGTCTTGGAGGTACAGTTGAGTGTGAGGCCCTAAGGGACTTGTGTTGGGGTACTCCACGTGCATGCTCAATACCTTGACTTAGTCTTGAGAAGTTATCAGTTAGTTGAGCAATTTCATTGTTATAGTTAGTTAAACTCGGTACTTGTGTGTGAGAATAGTGAAATTTCTAACAATCCACATATTGATGTGATTTATGAGCTCTAATGCATGAATTGCATTCTAACAAAGAGTTGTGTATTTTAGACGCATGCATGTACATGTTTATCATAATCATATCCAATGTGTATAATTGTTGCATTGTTGTTTATTCTTAATTATTACTTAATTGTTTATTATAATTGTATGATTGGTGTTGACTCTTTTTATTATGTTTGAGTAAATATAGTTGTCTTACTTCTTCTTCTTTTTCATGTGACATGACATTCCCTTAGTAGATTTGACATAGGATGACGAGACCACTCTTCCATCTCAACATAATGGTTAGCTTTGACCTACACAAATAGTGAATGAATGATTGGGAGTGGCATATAGCAACGTATACCAAGACTATGACCTTTTTGTTGGATAGAAATGGATCTAGACCTGCTGCACTGCTCATCCCTATCCTCATTTCCGTGGTTTATTGTTCCCTTTTTCCTTTGGGAATCCTTTTGCGTCTAGTAGGACCTCCACCTAAAGACCCTAATCCTTCCTCCTCTGAGGTGTCTAAGGAGATAAATCCAAAATCTTTCTCCCTTATCTTTTATCCTTTTCATTTGAGCCAACATCGACTGCCTCTTCTAGGAAGAAGAGGATGAACGCCTACGAGTATCGAGCTATGTTTCAAACTACGAAATATTTCAATCCTTTTTCTTTTGACTCCACTAGGTCAGTTAGGCAAAGGACAAATCCAGGCCCTAGTTGAGGATCTTTGTCCCCTCTTGCTAATGCACCTCATTGGAGAGACAATGAACTTAGGAAAAATCATCTTTTTGGATGAGTTTTTGGACATGATTGAATCATGGAAAATGAACTATTTTGTATACTACTCTGTATCATGCCCTTAGTCATTTTATATACGTATTGACTTGGCCATTTCTTTTGACAAACTCATAGAGGCATCACTTACATGTTATATGGATGAAATGATATATTAGACTTGTATTTAAAAAAAAAATTGAAAATTTATCCTTCTTAAATATGAGGTTATTTATTCTTCTTTGATTGGTATAGATGGTGTGAATGTTCCTGTATAGTACTAAGAGATGTCACATGAAAAAAAAAATAAGGAGAGGAAGACTAGTAGAAGAAATAAAGATGCTACCATTGCAATCTTCGTTAGACAATAAAAAGTCTTACATTAGTGGGTTACCAACAAATCAAAGAGTATATAAGTAAAAAGACGAGTATTAAAGTGTGGGACATCTTTAACACATTCAATTTGAGGATTTTTATATTTAAGGATTTGAGGGACTAAATTGACACATTTCATAAATAATTTTCCCAATTTAAACCACGTCATCCAACAACAATAATACTTGTACAAGCTCATATAACACCTAACATGTCATGTAAATTGTTTTGTCAATCCAACTAATGGTTAACCATTTTAAGGACCAATTTGTGACTACAATTATATAAAGTTGGAGATTAATATGACTATTTTTTTTTTTACTTAGAAATTAATTTAGTTACTCCTTACTGATATGACCATGGAGACTAATATGATTATTATTTTTTAGTTTAAGAATTAATTTGGTGACTTGATAAAATGATGAAGATTAGTACGATGATTTTCTCTTATTTTTTAGGTGTTTTGTTAATCTTAATCCTAACTATGTTTAAATATATAAAAATAATAAGTTTTAATTGGTAAAATATAAATTTATTGTATTAAAGTTTTTAAAAATACAGCTGAAAATAGTATTTAGTTAGACAATCCATTAATTTTAACTTTTTTTATTATTAAATTTATGAGTAAACAATGATCTAGTTTGGTTGAATTTGAGTTTTCAAATTCAAAACTGGATAAAACTTAAGCTCAACATGATACAAAAAATAGAGATAGATAAAAATATGATATAATAAAAAAATAATAAACTATTATCATATCCTCTATTTGATATATATATATATATATATATATATATATATATATATATAAAAGAATTATTAAGCAAATATCGATCATTATACTATTTTTTTAAATGTTTGAGGTAAACAAAAAATATTGAAATAAAATATAAATTATATTTAAATGAAAGAAATACTCTTTTATCAAAATTAATATAATTTTTAAAAATAATTAAATTTTTAATTTTCAATATATATATATATAATTAAAATTTTATTATGTACATATAATATTATAATTTTATTGCTTAAGATTTATTTTTAAATAAGAAATTATAATTAGAACAAAAAATTAAAATATTTTTTTTTAAATTTAGAATGTATTTTTTTAAATGTTTGTTTAATTTTTATAAAAAATATTAAATATATTTTTGTAAAATAATAAAAAGAACATAAAATAAAAATAAGGCTATCCTATTTTGTAGTTCTTAACTTATCAATTTTTCGAAATAAAAATTTGATCTATAATAATAAAATAGAAAATCGTATTAGGATAAACTATAATATTCTTTTAAACAACAAATAAGAAAAAAAGATAGCATGGGGTCGTAGATTCCTAGTGACTAAACGGGCCTTAAAGTAGTAAGGCTCCGCATTGAGTGAAGCGGGTTTGGAGTTGAACGGGTTATTGGGGTGGATTCGAACCAATTTATTTTCCAATAATTCTATTAGATTCGTATTTTCAGGGATTTTTGGGTAGGTGGGGGACAAAAGACTTGGTTGTATGAGAACAACGCAACACTTGACATTAAATAAATTGGCATTCATTGAATCAGAGAACTCAGAACACCAAGTGAGAAACAAATCGAAAGTGGTTTTCAGATTATTATTCTTATTATTATGGGCATCGAATCGCCGTTTAAGCGAGACATATTGAAGGGAAAGGTTGCGCTTATAACAGGTGGAGCTTCTGGAATCGGCTTCGAAATATCGACGCAATTGGGCAAACATGGAGCCTCCGTCGCTCTTATGGGTCGCCGCAAACAAGTCCTTCATTCCGCTGTCTCCGTTCTTCAATCACTCGCCATCCCTGTATGCAGCTTTTCTCTTATGGTTTCTCAATAATTGAACTTCAAATTGATTCATTTTGTTGTGTGTTGATACTAGGCGATAGGGTTTGAGGGGGATGTGAGGAAGCAAGAGGATGCGGCCAGAGTGGTGGAATCGACATTCAAGCATTTTGGCAGAATCGACATTCTCATCAATGCCGCTGCAGGCAACTTTCTCGCTTCCGCAGAGGATCTCTCCCCAAACGGCTTTCGAACTGGTTCTCATTTTCCTTATTATTACTATTATTATTACTAACTGAATCTCTTTTATAAACATTTTGTCGAAAGGAAAATGAATATCATACACTCACTAGGCATTTGAAGTTAATATGCACTGTGGTAACTGCTGACAAGAAAATCACCTGAGGGATCCTCACATTTTTACGATCTGTTATTCAATTGCATGTATTAATTTATTAAAAATATTTGGCTTTTACATATGCTGGTTGGTTATTAAATAAACTATTTTTTTGGGTCTAATATGAATGTGTCGAATATTTTAGCCATTTCATTTCATCAAAGAAAATGGAGAAAATAATACGGAAATTTTAGTTTTGGGCAGAAATTAGACAATAAAATGCATTTTGTGTAATCTAACTGGGCAGTGACAATAAATAAACTAATGGACCAACACCCATGGTGATGGCAGTCGCCACCTCGGAGTACAGTACATCAAAGCAACTATGACATGTGGTGGGTGTGATAGTATTGATGGTGGAAATATGTTGTGATGCTTGTGGTGGGGAAAAAGGGATGCATATTCTCTTGGAGTACTTTGATATAATGATAAAGTATCCATGTAAACTTGTTGCTGTCTTTCAATTTCTGTTGCTACAGTAAGAAACACTTGAATAAGATCGAGAACATTGGCGAATCTTTAACTGACTCATTCTGCATTAGAACCCTTAAGATTGAAACTTATGACTACATTATAATCTATTTTAAACTGCTGTTAGACACAACAATATTCTCATATCAAAATCTTTGTTGCTTAAAGAAAGTGGCATACATAAAAGGTGCAGCTAGGGTAGATTCGTTCATATGTCTCAGTTGAGTAGTTATTCCAATAAACTTTCCTACTTAACAAGTTTTCTTCAGGTTTACAACATGATTCAACTTCATTCTAATTATGCTAATTGTAATCCTTCTTTACAGTTTTGGACATTGATTCTGTTGGCACATTCACAATGTGCCGTGAAGCACTTAAATATCTCAAGAAAGGGGGAGAAGGAAGAAGCTCTTCTGGTGGGGGAACAATAATAAACATTAGTGCTACCTTACATTATACAGCTTCTTGGTATCAGATTCACGTGTCCGCAGCAAAGGTTTATAGCACATTACTTAGATGTTAAAATCATCCTGTATGCTTTCAAACTACATATTTCTATTATTGAACAGGCAGCTGTTGATGCCACTACTAGAAGCTTGGCACTAGAATGGGGAACGGACTATGACATTAGAGTCAATGGGATTGCACCAGGTCCAATAAGTGACACTCCTGGCATGAGTAAATTGGCTCCGGATGAAATAAGTAGCAAAGACAGAGATCATATGCCTCTATATAAACTTGGGGAGAAATGGGATATTGCCATGGCAGCTGTTTACCTAGTATCAGATGCAGGTTGGTCACTGTCTATTCACTATAATATTTAAAATTATTGTTTCAATCTTGTATGCATTTTTTTTTATTAGGCAATAAAATATTGTTTCTCTGTATACTTGAATGGCCATCGCAGTTTGTACATCCATTCCACTTTATTTTGAACAACTCCCTGTAACCAGGAAAATTATATGAAAATTACAAAAATAATTTTTTCTAAATAAAATTATTTTATTTTTATTCTCCCAACCCAATTCCCAGCCAACAAGTACTATATTAGAACTGTTTCACCGTATGACATAATAGGTGTTTACTGTCATGTTGAACATGTGCATGTACAATACAATAAATATATAGACATATGGAGTGAATTTGCGAGGTTGTTTGACCTTGGTAAATGACGTTTTATTTTTCATGTTTATATGTGCTTATGCAGTGCCTGCCATTCAAATGTCGTATTTTGTGAGGTCTGGAAGTGAAATCCCAAGATGTTTAGGTGCAAAATCATTATGTAATTGGGAAGTCGGGTTTTTCTGTGCATTATTTCTTATTCTTCATACTCCTATATGCTCCACCACAAGTATAAACCGTTCATCTTTATACAAACAGTATCCATTTGTTTGCATTATTTAAGGAGAATGCTAACCAAGGAATGCTGAGTGGAAACCTTTTATAACTGTAACACTTATTGTTACCAATGCACATCTGCCGTAATTTTTAATAAAAGATTAATTGATTCTCTGATAAATGTTCTTGGGATATTCATTAGTACAACCCTTTTAGTAATATCTGTTTATACTTTGTTGCATTTTTATTCTATTTCTTTTATGATTTGCATACATACAATTTATGATAAGGAATATCTGTGCTGTTCTTATTGAAAATTTCTTTTATGTTATGTAGTCTTTGCTGCTAGCAGACTCTTCCTATGGTAGATTTGATGGAAACTAGTTTTTCTAGCTTACACTCGCTGCACTTTGTTTCTATGTAATTTATGCTTTTCCAGAATAAAATGCTCTTCTTTTGTGATCTCTAAGATTTACTAATCTATTCTTTAACCTTCTACCTGAGCTCAGTAGGGGGCCTATTGCTTGAAGATATATCCATGCACACTTTCTGTGCCCATCCCAACCCTTATTGCACGAATATGTGACCCTTGATATCTTGGCTCTATTGTTGCCACCCTTTGGCTAGATAAATTGTCCAGCAGAACTCAAGCGTGCATTACTTTTCTTTTACATCAAATTTTTATGGAATATGCTATAATTATTTTGTAAAAAATGACCGCACTTAATTTTAGGAAAAAAAAATCTTTTGGTATGAAAAACACCATGAAATATTGATTATTCTTGACTCAGTAAGATTTTTCATTCAGAATGCATTATTTATTTTCTGAATTTCCATCATAGATTATGGTTAAATCAACTATAGAGACACTCGATAGTCATGTAATCATATTTTCATCTGTTTATAGAACTTAATTCGTTTTTAAGGTTGTTTATAAATGTTCCTTCCCATATACTCGTTACTTCTATGCCATCATATTATTATATCATATTAATAACCTTTGTTAAAATATTTCGAATAAGTACCCTTTCCTTTCACTTTTTTTTTTTTTAAAAAAATTATATTTTTACTCATAATTTGTTACCATCTCATTACACTGGAAAAAATATTTATTTAGAGACTGTTAAATTGTTGGAATGGGGACAACGTTAACTCTAGATACTTGTATCAGTCATCATCTTGTTCGTTTCTTTTTTTCTTCTTTTGTCTTCGGAACCTTAAAGCATTTCTGCAAATTTGTGAAGGAAAATACATTAATGGTGACACTATCAAAGTTGACGGAGGACTTTGGCTGAGCCGGCCTCGACATTTACCCAAAGAGGCAGTAAAGCAGGTATCGCGGGCAGTAGAAAAGAGATCCAGGAATGAACCAGTTGGTGTTCCAAAAAGCAAGCTGTGAGCAGCAGTTGGTGCTTGGAACTTAAGCAAATTCCGCAGTAGCTTTGAACTTGATATGTGGGTTGGTGAATAAACAAATCCATCTCAATGAAAGGTGAGTGCATGCGATGCACATTGCTCAATGGGTATTGTAAAAGAACCATCCATCGCCATGGTACGAACTTGAATTGGGTCGTCAGATATTTATGACGAGGACAAAAACACGTTTTGTATATCTCGTTGTGATTTCTTTGAAACCTGTTGTGTAGAAAATTATTATTGGCCAATTCCATGATATAATTGGTACTTAAAAGGTTTCATTTTTTTTATTTACCAGGCGATAGATAAGACAGTACGGTCACCGGTTAAAACGAAGACCTTTTTTCAAACTAAAGAGATTACATACTTTTTGGATATGATCGGGAGGAATTATTTGAAGCGAAGGTAGGAAATATTTTTAATTTTAAATTAAAATAATTATAAATTATTTATGATGATAAATATATTATTAATATATTAAGTTTATGTTAATATATTAATTTATATTTTTTATTTTAAAAATGATTAATTTTAAATATATTTACTTAAAATATAAATTGTCTTCTTTTTTAAAACTTTCTTTTTCAAACACCTTCTTAGGATTTAAGTTTTTTTCATTCAAATCAAACATAAGCCAAACGTAAAAACTAAATAAGCCAATACGCAAAAACGTTTTGATGTTGCCTTTTACCTCAATTTGATTTAACTTTTGAATTAAGAAATTGGGTATGTTTATTGTTGTTACACTTGTATGTTTATTATCACTTCTTTTTAAGTGATTTTTGTTTAAATTATCTTTCCCTTTCTTTTATAAATTAAATTAATAGTAAAGGTATAGTACATCTCTTAAAAAATATAAATAGCTGCATGAAATTTTAGTATCAATTTTAAAAGTTATTATTAATTTTAATTATGTCAAATTGATTCACATTTGATTAGGGTACTTTTATTTTTATGTGTAAAAAAAATGACAATTAATTTTTGTTTCTTAATTTAAGAGTAAAATTCGTTTTAGTCTTTTAATTTTAATTTTAATTTTGTTAAATTCAATCCTTAAAGTTGAGGATAAGCAGCTATTAATAATAAAATTTTATTAGAAAGATAATTATTTATTATGTTTTTATAATTTCAATACAATAATTATATATTTTTTCATAAAAAATTTCTATTTGTGGATGTTTAAACTCAACTTTAAGGATTGAAGTTAACAAATTTTTATTATTATTATTTAATTTTATTTTTGAAGTTTTATTTTATTTTTTTAAGTTAGTTTTTTCTATTAATTATGTTACATAACCTAACAGAAATATTTTATGTAGTGTTGATGTGGCCTTAATCTCAACATCTCTCTCTATCTTTGATGACAATTCTTACCTAGATCTAGTGACATCAACCTAGTAAAAGGGGCAGAGTGCTCATCCATGACAAGTTTGTGATGGTTATGAATAACATGAAGCTAGTGGAAGGGATCAAAGAAAGTGGTTGTGAAGTCAAATTGAGATTGGATGAGGTGAGAAATGAAGAGACATACATTTATTCTATTTAATATTATAAGTTATGATATTGTTGCAAGCTTTAATCTTAATAAATCCATCTCTTTGCTAAAACAAAAAACTTCTTTTAGCTCATAAATGAAATTTTTTTAGATAGATGTTCTCTTGTCTCTAACTTCCTTACTGTTGACACTGTTCATGGTGAGAATGTCTCAATAAAGAAATCCCTACATCATAAACAAGCTTGCTAGTGTTCTAGTTTCTTTATTGGCATTGCACAACTGTCTTAAATGAAGGAATCTCTACATCATAATATGCAATTTTGTTAAGTTTCTTAGTTGTTATTTCACTTGGAAAAAACACTTAGATTCAACCTCCTAGTTGTCATTTTGGATATAGAAAAAAGTTAACCATCATGTTGGAAAGCATGTTCATCTTACACTTACAATTCTATCTCTCCTTTTCCTCCAACTCAACAGAAAATTATTTTCAAAATTTTATTTCATAAATTAGCAAGAGTACCAACACATGTCGAATTATCAATCATTTAATTCAAGTTTACAATGTCTAGTCTAAAATATAAGATTTAGGATAATAATATATGTGTGTTTTGTTCCGCAAAATAAAGAGTTTCATTATAATGAAATATATATTCTATAATGATATATGTATATACTTTAATTAAAAATTATATACATATACGAAAGATTGTTTTATTACATGTTATGTTCCTTGGTTAGAAAGGTAACGCGTAAGCGATCAATTTTCTCTATTTCTTGATTTTTGGGTGAATCGTGTGTTTGCAACAAGGACAAGATTTTCTCAATTCCAATCGACTAGGCGTATTATGTCGATTCTTTTGGGATATCAAAACCTGTGAAAGAAAAAGAATGAGAAGAGAAGAGGAGGGTTTGGAATAGTTGAAGGGGAACAAGAAGAGGAGAGGAGAGGGAGATAAGGTTGGTGAATTGAGAGGGTGGAGGATGGTGGGTTGGGGGAAAAGAGGCGGCAAAGCTACTGAAGGAGGAAGGGGAGGAAAAGTAGAGGAGTTGCACCTTTACTATTTTTTATTAATTTTTAAATAAAAAGGTTCAAGTTGTATTAAATAAACACGTTAAAGCTATCTTAGCGCCACCTATGATATCTTAGGTCATGTAATATAGCTATTAGAAAATATTAATATGAAAAAAAGAAGTTTGAAGATGAAAATAAATTTAAAAAAAAAGTGATAAGACAAAAATGAATTCTATCATGAAATTAAGAGGCAAAAATATTAATTTTGTCAAAAAAATTATGACGTATTACTTTTAAAACAATCATTAAAAAATATTTTTTGTAGTTTGAAAAAAGTACTAAAATTTGCTCTCTTTTATATTTGATTGAAACAGTTATTTCATTGGCAAAATTTTTTTTATAAATGTAATTAAAAACTCGTTTTTATATGAAAAGTTTAAACAACCTATCTTTTACATTAACAAAATACTGTTCAATTTTAAAATAAAATAATTACATAAATAGACTTTCAAAAGTCATTAAAATTAAGAAAATAGAAAACCATTGCAAAATCTTCAATTTCTCGTTATGGAAGTAAATCTTAGTACTGTTCAATTTTAAAATAAAATAATTACATAAATGGACTTTCAAAAGTCATTAAAATTAAGAAAATAGAAAACTATTGCAAAATCTTCAATTTAAGTTATTGATTGTCTTAATTACTTTAATTAAAGTTTTCTAATTTATTTACATTAATTTCTGCACTTAAATTATAAAATCATTTAAGTAACTATTGACAACATAAAATTGGTAATAACAACATAATTTTTCAGAAAACAAAATTAAATACTACTTAATTACCTGTGCACTTATTATATACGACATTCATCATCCAAAAAATGAGTTATCATCTACTTCATTCCGTCAATTAAAATAAAACAAATGTAATTTCAGGTTTTATTTGTCATTTCTACTATTTTCTCTCTCAAATTCTATTAAACTTGTCATGTTGCTAAATTAGTGACCGAATATATCAATATTTCATAATATTATAAATCTACTCATTTTTTATTAAAATATTATTTAAAAGCATTTTTATCCTTGTTATGTCGAAGGGCTTCTTTTACATTAAATATTTTTTTTATCATCAAATCCAATACTATATGCTTAAACTCAAATGAAAATCATAAGAACCAAAATCTTATTGAAACTAAAAGCAAAATATTGCAAAATATGAGAGAATTTAAACTTAAATATCACGGTGAATCATTAGAATATTTAAATTTTGATGTGTAGCAGTATGCTTATCCCTACAATACTAGCTACAAACCATTGCCGTAGACAGCTGCAAACTTGGAAGCGTACAAAAATGGAAATACAAATTTTGGGGGCTAAAAATTTCATTCTCAACTATATATGAAATTTTATACAACCGCGAAAATTGAATACAGAATTTCAACATGGTGTGACATACAAGCTCATTTCTGTTGACAAGATAATGTCTGAAGATTGTTGACATGTCTCCAAGTAGCAGCATCAAGAGTTTCATCAACTGAGGCATATAACTAGCCCATTGACGAGGAAAATGGGCAACTTGCACAACAGCTCCACTATGTTCTCCCTGATTCTCCCAGGAATGTGTATCATCAAACTATTTCCATCCCAAATAAGAACTGTTGTAAGTGAGGTTGCGACAAAGATCTGAATGTGTCAACATCTATGGAGAGGAGCAGGATACAAGTCGGGTAACTGATATCGTAGTTGATCATTATGCGGTAACGGTCCCTCCTACATTGATAAAAATAATTACTGCATTGTTTGGAGGAAAATGAAAAGCAGCATAGTTCCAAACGAGTTACTGTGAAGGTAAACAGTTACAACAAAGGCATAATTATAAGAACTGGTTCAGGAAATTGAAACAACATTGTAGAAACTGCCTCTGATATGGTATCAACGTGATAACGAACAGACCGCATACGATGCGATTCTCAAGATCACTCTCTAAACCCATTTCCACTTTAAAACCAAAGAAGACCATCTCTTCTTTCCCTCCTATTATTTGTATCCTGTTATTCCTCTCTAACTATAATTAACTAGATCTAATCTAACTATTGGTAGGATAATCATATCCCAAACATTAATATTTATGACATTGATTTTTTCATAATAATAATAATAATAAATGGTTGTATTGTAGTCCTTAACTACGATGTTTCATCACATGCATGCTAAGGGATGCAATGGGTCCTGTACCCATAATTATCCAGAATGGGAAAGGTAAATTCCTGCTAAATGGTTTGGATTTAGGTAGGGGTAAATATCTGCAAAATTTGATGGGTACGGATATGAGTACGAGTATCATAGTACCCATTGCACTAATATATGTATATATATATATATATATATATATAGCATAAGCAGGTATGTAATTAAAATTAGTTTTAGATAAATGATTTTGTTATAATTTTGTAAGATTATCATACTTTAATTTGATATTTTATTTGATTTTATTTGACATTAAATGAATGATTTATTTGTAATTTTGAATATTATTTGAAGTATTATTACAATATGTTCTTTCTTGCATAATACTTTTTATGTTTTATTAGCTCGTAAAAGAATATTAGGAGAAATTTTATTTTTGTTAACAAACTGTAGGTAACAAAACAAGAACAAATATGAGAATTTAGGTACCTAGGGTATGGGGATCAAAGTTGTTACTTGGTGGGGTGGACTGGTAATATAGTATCCTAATTAGACCCTAACCATTGCCATCCCCACATGCTATTGTGCCAATAAATTACAGTGCATTAATCAGTAGGGAAGAAAGTACCTCTTCAGGGTTTATCTGGAATGGCTTCACAAAGTCCTCAAACATTACTGGAGACAGACCCTTCAATCTTTCTTCAACCTCCTATGAATGCATGAAATAGAATACTTGACATTGACAAGAGAAACATAACATAATTTTACATAAGAGAGGAAAGGAAAACAAAACCATATAATCAGGCCAAAAGCACCAATCTAGAGCAGAAGGCAAAAATACATTTTGGAATCAGAAACTAAGAACAAGCAATCTAGTGTTTGATTCTGGCCACTCCCATTACAACAACAGCCAATCCACTTCCACTCTTCATAACTAAATTCGATTACCCCCAAAGTAGAGTAGGTGCATTATCCACACTTTTTAAGCCTAAAGGGCTCTCTTGCATGAGAGGAAGTGTTGCAGACATAAAACCACTCCCAGGCCTTCATGGAACAACTGAAAGCTTTTTGGTAGGTAACGTCTTTGACATGAAGGAAACTTAAGTATTTTTAATACAAAAATGCATTACCCAGTACCACGGAGGATCAAACATTAAAAACTTTACTATACTTCAGTCACTTCCACCACCTCCAATGAAAGAAAGGAAAGAAAAACTGACAGCACAAGGAGCATAGCATACCAATCCAGTTATTCTAGACTTCTCCAGTAGTTCCCTCGCAACCAAGTCCAAAATGTGCCTATTCTGCCTTAAAGCATTCATTGCAAGTTCTTCAGTTTCTTCAATGTACTGTCATGAAATATCAATTTAAACATCTTAAAATCATTGTACATTTACTGAGAAAATAATTACAGTAAGCATAAGAAAATCAACTCCTTTAATAGATGGCAATTTTCAACAATTTCACCAAATGTGTTACTATTAGGAACCGAAACAGTAAAAGAAAAACAACTGAAGTTTTTATTGGTTGTGTGAATTTCACAGGTTATTTGAGAGAACTTGGGACTCTTCATACTCTCAAAGAGTACAATCCCTTCTACTATTGACCAGCTCGTCATTCTCTCTGCCTCCCTCTTATTTAAATAAGTGCAATGTGCCATATTTCTTCTACAACCTCAAAATGAGTCCCTAACTAACATATCATAACTAACTATGAATGGAGGATACTTAACAATTACATTTTTTTATAATATTTATTTCCCTCTTAATTATTTAGCACCAAAAACAAAATCCCATTTTGCATAGTTCTCTCTTTCTTTGCCTTGTGTACAAAATGTCATTTTCATGTTACATCATCATTTGTGTCAAATTCTGTTCAACAGTAAACACCAGTTACATATAGCATGAGACTATATTAGATTCAATGATGAATTTAATTAAGCATAGAGCTCCTTTCAAATGCCATACAATAAAAGTAGAAAGAAAGCAAATTGGAATTACCCTTGTCAACTCCCTTGTAAAAAGCTCAGACACCTCTAGTGTCATATTAGCTGGAATTACTTGAGGGTCGTCCCACTAAACACAAACGGAGAAAAAAATGAATCTTTCAAATTGCAAAGAGGGGTAAACATTGTATATATATTTGCTGCTTTAGGGAAGGAATATACTCTATATCTTATCAACTCGCCATCTGAACTGTCTGGTCGATCAACTAAGCCAACCCTTTTTGTTAAAGCTATTAACCCCAACCTTTTATTTTGAGGGCTGATTACCATCTCCCTAGCAATCTGAAAACAAATTTCAGTGATAAGTGAATTAATTAAAATCAAAATAAGTATATTACAATACACACAATTAAAATAATCGAAATCACTTAAAAACTTGTAGATTTATACATGCAAAAAGAAAAACCAAGCAAATGTATGTAAAGAGAAAGATAAAGATGAACGCCATGCATGATATATATTTAAGAAGCAAGCCTTCACAAACACCACCACCACCCCTCCAAAAAAATAAAAAAAGTAAAGTATGAAGGAAAAGATATTGTTCCATTATATGGTGATCTTAATAAATTCGAAATAAACTAATTTTATCACTAACTAATTTAATATGAGCATGAATATGAATTTTGTAGGAATGAGCTGGTTCGTTTGATGAGAATAATTTTTTTCTATTTATCGAAAAAGAAAACTAATAAGAAAAGGATACTAAACTGATAGAGGATACCACATCCTCACAAACAGCAAAAAAATAGTAAAAGTATGAACTGTGTAACAGCAGCCAATCTCTCCCCATGTCTGACAAAGAAACACTGCAAAAAACCTCATGAACAGAACACCAAAAGATAGCCAATAAAATAAGCCTATATCAATTGAAATCTATAGATTATTTTCTTTGAGAAACTTCTAGCATCAACCATAAACACCACAGAACCACAAAGACTTCATATTGCCACAAAGAGACTTGTTACTAGTGACATGATCAATTGCCACAGAATCAAAGACCCATGAGGCAAGAGAGGGAGAATAAGAGATACCGATGAAGGGATTACCAATGTGCGAAACAGAGGAGTGGAACTAGAGGCCTCTTGCTCCTTGTACCATAGAAGGAAATCATTGTAGGTGGGAGGAGGCGAAAAATTTGAGGGCATAATTAGAGCCATAAGCTAAGAAGGGGGAAATGGAGCTGCCTGGGCCATGAGAGCATAGAAGCAAGAGAAACTGGTGTCAACAATGTCAAAAATGTCAAATTGCGGCTATAGGTAGCAAAAACAAGCAAACCAACCATAGATTTGGAAGGAGAAGGGCATGGCAACTATGTCGATGCCGATGGTGGCCGAAGAAGTGGCATCACGCACTTCCATGCACAGCGGCAGCAACAGGTGGATAGATTTGACAAGCTGTGGTTTTGCAGCATGTGGGGGGGTGTCAGTGCCCAATCAACAGGGGTCCAGCTGTGTTGGGTTGTGCACAATGGGGTGGTTCAGATCGCGTCGCTGGCAGAAAGGTCTCTGGAACAGCACCAATAGTGAATAGTAACACCCTTGATGAACAGTGATTTTGGCAATGAACAGTGGCATGGCATATGGAAGACCAGAAACCAGATTTGAAGCGTGGTTTCTGGGAAAACAAATTCACCAACAGTGAGCAGTCTGCCCACTGAGTACACATGGATTTAAAATTTACCCTTTCGTTAGGCTTTGCATACCATGTTGAGAGAAGGAAAAATGAAAAAGTATTGAATCTACGTGTTTCAACTAAGAAATGGATCATATATTTATACTGACAATGGCAATAATTACAGAATATTTACAAAATATTCAGTTACTTAATTGACATAATTAAAAAAAAAAACTTTCCTTATTACTATAATTGCATATATTTAACAATATAGTTAGTGTCAATCCTGTTAGGGAAAGCAGTCCAGACAAAAGATTTGACCTTGGAGTTTTGGATTTCCAAATGGGTCTATCCAAAAGAAACGAATATCTATTAGGAGAGTAAGGAACAGAAAATGCAGAAAAAAAAGAAATAAGATAACAACGGAGTTCTTGCTCTTACCGAGTGACTAGGCAATTACAAGAAATGTCCCATGCATTATCCCTTCCATCTCACCTATCTTGCTCATTTGAGACATTAACACACAGCTTTTCCCTATATTTTTCCATAAAGAAGACTATCCTAACTCTTATAAAGAGGATTCTGACTCTATTCCTAGCCAATGTAAGACATCTCAGCACCCCCTCCCCCCACCCCAACACGCTCAGGACTGGATTGGATATCTAGTGCGTAAAGTTTGTAGAACTAGACATCTGCGGGTGGCCCAATAGGACTAATATTTGTGGGCAACCCAACATTCAAAATAGACATGCTCTAATACCATATTAAGAAAATTGGGCTAAACTCACTCTCAAAAGCTAACTCATAAGAGGAGGACTACACTAGCCCTTATAGAGTATTTTGCCTCTATTCCTAATCAATGTAGAACATCTTAAAATGACATTAATTACCTTTGTTATCTTTTCAAGATCATCTCTTCCTCCATCAGTGATATCATCACCAAATACAATACGTTCAGCACATCGACCACCATGAGCCACAACCATTTGCATCATCATGTAACCAAATGTTGTATAACCTTGGTCTACCATATCTTCTCGAGGATAGAATACAGATATTGCAGTTTCCTGCTTAATTGGAACAGAAATTCCATGTAAATCCAAAATAATAATAGTATAATTATCATCATTTTGCGTATTCCAGTAACCTAACATCATACCTTACCACCAGGCAGGAGCTGTGAAAATGCATGCCAGTCAAACCGAGGAAACAAGTGAGCTAGCACAACATGACCAGCTTCATGGACAGCAAGCAGTCTCTTCTTTTCCAAAGATACCTACAGTCCACTTAAAAAATTGAATACAAATTCATTTTGTTGTGTCAGATCTGGTAAGAACTTCCAAAGATAGACATACGCTTTGTTCACATTTCTGTTGCTCTTCTTCTGTGAGGAGGACACCCATACCCTCAAGCAGTTGTTTATCTAGCACATCAATAATATCTTGCTGGAAAATTTTGGAACGCCCTTTTCTCACCTGCAATCAACAACTTTATATGATTAAAACAAAGGAAAAAATAAAGGTTATAGCGTCAAATATTCTCATATCTTCCTACCAGATCCACCAGAGAAAATGTTACAATTGCCAAAATGCATACAAGATATTGGAAATGAGATATCTACCAGTAAATCATGAAATATCTAGATTAGCAACAAACACGACACTAAGATTTTCAACTGCATTTTAAAGTTATCCACAAAAGTCAATCACTTTTTTTTTAAATTACCATGAAATAGAAACCCAGTATGCCAAGAAACATCTGAGTAATATGACATATAAAAAAGAATGCAACATGGGCAGCTACAAGTCATGAAGTAGAGAACCTAAGTAATTAGATCTTACTTTCCTCTTCCATTTCTGTTAAAAAATTATATTGAAAAGGCACCAAGAGAAACTAGTGTATGCAAGGCTATACACAGCCATGGCTGATAATTTTATGTTTAGTACCTAAAACCATATATGCAGCATATACCTACCGACATTATTGCTGATTCGTTGACAAGATTTCTTATATCTGCTCCAGAGAATCCAACAGTACGGAAGACAAGCTGTTGAGAGGCACAGAAAGAGCAGGTCTAGTCAGTACAAAACAGATCAAGTCTCACATACTACTAACTCATACAATGAACAAAACAAATAGCTAGTCATGAATATGATAAAAATACAGTCAAACTCATGTTCTTACGAAGATACTCTTTGAAACAGATTCTGTTTTGACCATTAGGAAATTCAATTGAATACAAATACCAAGATGTGAATCAATTTCAACACTGAATTATCCTGAAATTCTTATGAAAATAAACTGTCTACAGTGTATTTTATTGCACAATTGTTCAACCCAAACAATTTTTAGTAGTCATTATTATTTTCCTTTTATTTTGGCTGGAGATAGCTGAAGCACGTTTCAATATATTCAATGCAGACTGCTTCACAGAATGGCACACTCTTATCTTTCTCATACTGCAAGTACGAACTCTAATTTATACTCAAGGACCTTTTGAACTCATCAACCTACGTTTATTGTAATTGGTGCATTTATGTCCTAAAATATTTCCTCCAAGAATATGTCTGCATTTAGTGAATGTAAGAAATCAATTGAAGAGAATTAAATATTATTAAGAAAGAGAGAAACGAGAAGGCATAGGATGAACCCGTGTATTTTGAATACACAGTGGAGCTATCTATTTATAATAATAAGTCATAATAAATACATGATTTTCAGTTATTTAGAAAAACCCAAATTACTTAGTCACCCTATTTACAATATTACCCAGTTATTTTCCATTAATCTTAACACTCTCTCAAGCTGAAACATAAATTATATGCACAAAGCTTGTTACATATATAACTAATATGATGCCCCCTCAAGGATTTAGTGACGATATCTGCTAATTGATCATTAGAATTGACAAATCAAGTAACAATATCTCTAGATAAATCATTTTCCTTCAACGAAGTGACAATTTCTTTCAATGTGTTTGGTGCTTTTATGAAAACCGGGTTTGAGGCAATATATAGAGCAGTCTGATTGTCATAAACTAGGGTACAGTCATCTATGTAATCTCTCCAAACTTCAATTCTTTCAATAGCTATTTGAATCATATGAATTCACAAGGGGCTGAAGTCATGTCTCAATACTCTGCTTCAGCACTTGATCATGCAACAACACTTTGTTTTTTATTTTTCCAGGAGATCAAGTTATCATCAATGAAAATGTAGTACCCAGAGGTTGACCTCTTATTTTTGAGAGAGCCTGCCCAATCTGCATCTAAATATTCCATAATTTGAATGTGTCCTTTGTCTTCATACAAAATACCTTTCCCTGTAGCTCTCTTGATATATTTTATGATGCAAATAGTTGCATCCCAATCTTCTTTAAGGGAGAGTTGAGAAATTGACTCACCACACCCACAGTGATAGAACACTATTAATTAATTGACAGGAATTGTACAGCAGTTAATGCTGCTGTCCCAAAGTTTCAAAAACTCCGACAGAGCATGATCTCTATCCAAACAGAAGAAAATATTATCATAACTGTCATTTACATAGGAATTACACATATTCTGAATATGTAACTGTCTACTCCAATAACTTCATACCCATTACATTCTGAATACATAATGGCCTACACCAGTAAATTTTATTTTAATACCTACGCCTCCTAGAATAAACTTGTACTACAAGTGGTTTGCTTGAGCCTAGGCTTTTAAAAAATATCAAAATGAAATCCAAACAATTTAGTCATCCAACATTGTTGGTCAACTGTAGTAATGCATTGTTCCAACAAATGTTGTTTAAGCCTTTTCTGGTAAATGTAAACCAAAAATTTATGACCTAACAAATAGTATCTCCAATAATGAATTTCCATCACAAAAGCCATCAGCTCCTTTTCATAAACTGATTTACTGAGACAAAGCCTTGCTAAAGAAAGCAATAGGTCTCTTTTGTTGCACAACACCTCCTACCCCATTGCCACACCCATCACATTCTATTTCCAAGGGAATGTTAAAATTAGGATAAGCAAGAACCAGTGAACAAGTAAAATAGACCTTTTTAATGTGGAAAAAGCTTGTTCAGCTGCTAGCCCCCAGTGGAAATTCTTTTTCTTTGTTAATTCAGTCAATGGCCTCGCAATCTTACCATAAGTAAAAATGAATTTTCTATAATAACCAGTTAGACCCTAGTTTGTTTTAGCAATTGGTTATGTTTAGATATTTAAATTGTTATTATTCTGTACTTAATAGAACAATCCTTGTAGATACAATAACTTTTTATATTAGTTAACAATAATCGTGCAGCTGTGGCTCTATCAAAGGGGTAAAGAATGAAAAAAAGAATAAGTATAGAAAAAAGATTTATTACAACTAATGTGATTGGCAGTGCCAAAATCAATAATCAAGAACCAAAAGGAGAATAGATGTCAGCAACGGAATTACCAATTTGTACAACCAACACAATGGAACTGAAAGTTTGATGGGTTTCACCTTGTTAAATATATGTAAATGTTATTTAGGAAAATAGTATCCATGTAATTATAGTAATTAAATAACCGTATATTTGTCCTTAATTTTGTAGCTATATTAATATATATATACATCCCGTGGTGTAGTTGAACCACACAAAATTTCTTTCATGCCTTCTCGTTTTCTCTCATCTTAACATGGTATCAAGAGCTTAACAAGGAGGAAACTCTAATCCATCCTTTCCCTGTGGGCCCACTGCTCATAAGCAGTGTTGTCAAATGGCCGTTATGGCGGCGCCATGGCGGTATGACGTGGCGGAAATGACGGACGCCATTACGAAGATGGCGTGGCGTGGCGGAATGACGTGGCGGCGCCATGGCGGCCGTTACGAGCATGGCGGTAACGGCCGGCCATGGCGGAAATCGTGATAAATGGCGTTTTTTTTTAAAAAAATTGGATTTTCTGCACTTTTGGGCCAGATTCGACCCGACCCGACCCGACCCGACCCAGCTCAGAATCCAACTGCCTAAATCCAGGTTTTTTCTCTCTCTTCTCCTTACGATCTCACTCTCCCTCTCTTTGCAATCGCACTCTCTGCGATCTCACTCTCCACTCTGCTCATCTCTTTGAGCTCCTGCCATCTCTCTCTCTCTCTCTCTCTCTACGACCACTTCTCTCTCTCTCTCTGCGACTGCTTTCTTTGAGATCTCGTTGCTGAGATCTCATTTTCTTGGGCTCTCTTTGTGTTTCTGTTTGGGTGCATTTCAGTCTGTATTTTCGGCGACTGCAGCTGCATCTCCGGTGACTCCAACCTCAATTTCCGGCGACTGCACTTCCATATCCGGCGACTCCATTTTTCTGGTAGCTATTTTTTTTCATTTTTCCTCTCAGTTTTTTCTTTATTTCCCCCATTTAAATTTTACCCTTTCCATCTTTCAATTTTTACCTCTCCCACATTTCTATTTTTCTCTGTTTTTTCTCTGATTTTCCTAAAAAAAAAATTCTATTTATTTCAGCTACTCTTAACATGGCTCAACATGAGTCTTCATCAAATTGTTCAAGAACTTCTAATCATTCTGACCCGGGATGGAAATATGCTCATTCGGTGAAAGATGGAGATACAAACAACATTGTATGTAATTTTTGTGGAAAAGTTATGAGTGCGGGAATCACTAGAGTGAAACAACATTTAATTGGAAAGAAGAGTAACGTGAAAGCTTGTCCCAAGTGTCCGGAAGAAGTTAGAAAAGAGATTGAGACATATCAAAAGGAAAAAAAAAATCAAAATAATTTTGAGATGCCAAATGTGAGAAGCTTTGAAGGTATAAGCTATGATGTAAGTGAGGATGAAGAGGATACCCAAACCCGTAGCGTTGCCATTGGAAATCAGAAAGGGCCAATGGACTTGTTTTGTAGAAAGCCTGAAAGTGCAATTGAGAAAAGAAAAAAGGAAAAATTGAGACAAACAAATATAAGAGAACGATGTGACAAAGAAGCCAAGGCAAGGGTCCATCATTACATAGCTCGATTTTGGTATCAAACTGGCCTTTCCTTTAACCTCATTAAAATGAAGAGCTTTCAAGAAATGCTTACAGCTGTTGGTGCTTTCGGTCCAAATTTACCAGCTCCAAGTTATCATGATATTCGAGTTCCACTTCTAAAGAAAGAGTTAGAATATACCGATTCCCTCATGAAAGATCATAAAGAGCAATGGAGCAAACATGGCTGTTCCATAATGTCAGATGCATGGACCGATCGAAAGCAAAGATGCTTGATTAATTTTTTGGTCAACTCTCCTGCTGGTACTATGTTTGTGAGGTCTATTGGTGGATCTAATTTTGTGAAGACCGGTGAAAAATTATTTGAGATGCTTGATGCTCTTGTGGAAGAGATTGGAGAAGATAAAATTGTGCAAGTGATAACGGATAATGGAACCAATTATGTCTTGGCTGGTAAGATGTTAGAAGCGAAAAGACCACATCTTTATTGGACTCCTTGTGCAGCTCATTGCATAAATCTTATGCTTGAAGATATTGGAAAGCTTCCTTTGATAAAGAAGACAATTCAAAGGGGAATATCGGTTGTTGGCTTTATCTACAGTCATTCAAGTACCTTGAGTTTGTTGAGAAATTTTACAAACAAGAGGGAATTGGTAAGACATGCAGTTACTCGATTTGCAACTTCTTTTCTATCATTAAAAAGACTTCACCAAGAAAAAGTAAATCTTAGAAAGATGTTTACTTCTGAGGAATGGTGTAAAAACAAGTTATCAAAGGAAGCTAAAGGGAAGCAAGCAACAAAAATTCTATTAAATCCTGTATTTTGGAATAATGTGGTGTATACTTTGAAAATCATGGCTCCTCTTGTCCGGGTGTTACGTTTGGTTGATGGAGAAAGAAGACCAGCTATGGGGTATATTTATGAAGCAATGGAGAAAAGTAAAGAAGCTATCATGAAGTCATTCAAAAATAATGAAAGTAAATACAAAGATGTGTTTGCAATCATTGATAACAGATGGACTTGTCAGCTTCACCGTCCATTACATGCAGCTGGTCACATTTTAAACCCGGAATTTTACTATGACAACCCTCAAATTGAATTTGATTTGTAAGTTACAAATGGGTTGTATGATTGTATCAAGAGGTTGGTGCCAAGTCGGGATGTGCAACAAAGTATACTACTTGAATTACCAATTTACAAGAGCGGTGGTGGTCTCTTTGAGTCCGACTTTGCAAAATCACAAAGAAAAAGCATTGCTCCCGGTAATTCATCAAATTCTTCAATATTTTAATTTTAAGGTTATACTTCATCTTCAGAGTTATAATTTGTCTTTCATTTTATAGCTCAATAGTGGAGAATGTATGGACATTCAGCTCCACATTTGCAGCAACTAGCTATCAAAATTTTGAGCTTGACATGTAGTACATCCGGATGTGAACGCAACTGGAGTGTTTTTGAGCAAGTAATTTTTTATCTCTTGAGCCTACTATTTTCTTTTATAAATTAGAGAGAAACTGATTAATATTCTTATAATTAAACTCACGTTGCAAATTCATTCAAAGAAGAGAAATAGGATTGATCACAAAAAATTACATGACTTGGTTTATGTGAAATACAACCAACAACTCAAAGAACGTTACAATCTTAAAGATGTAATTGATCCAATTACACTCAATGATATTGATGAGTGTAATGAGTGGTTGGTTGGAGAAATGGATGATGATGCTCTAGATGAGGATGCTGGAAATGACTTAGTTTTTTATGGTGACAACACTTTAAATTGGGCAACTGTTTATGAAGCTTCTGGAATTGGAGAGCCTACAACATATACTAGGCATCATTCTAAGAAAAGAGAATCCATCAAGTGGTATCACTATCAAAGCTGCAAAAGTTTCCAAGATTAAGGCATGTTCAACAACAAAAGGAAAAGAGAAAATGGTTCTTGAAGATGATGATGAAGAATTAGAAGATGAAGAAATGTCGGAAGAAACAAAAGATGAATTAGAATTTAATCTTCCACAATCTGAAGGAGAAGAAGAGGAGGGATATGCCTTGGTGGATGAGAAAGAGGATGATTATGTTGAAGTTGAAGAAGAAGACTAAATTGATAATCTTTATTTTTATTGTTAACTTGACATTTGATAATTACATATTTTGTATTTAATTATACTTTAGATTGAAGGTTATGTTACATATATTTTTAGTTAATTATTTTCTATTATTTTCTGTGACCTATAGTATTTTTTTATATATTTTATTACATCCGCCATAAATCTGCCATAACCCGCCATGGCGGCCGCCATAACTTTATGGCAGTTTTTTGAGTTTCCGCCATGAACCGCCATCCGCCATTAATAACATTGCTCATAAGTGTAATTTCTTTCCAAAAACCGTGTGTATCTCCAATTTTTTATTTTTTTCAGCTGTCAACGTTCACACTACCAGCAACTTTTCTAGTGTGCTTTTTTGACCGGCTTCTCACCACCACCAATATCACCCCGTTGTGTGCAACACAACACTGGTCACCACATCAAGTACAGAGCTCCCACGCACCCACATGTGCCTCTCCTTCTCTGGAGACGTTCTCTATTCAACACCACCTCCGCCGTGCGTGGTGGTGCGTCTAGCGATTTTCCAGCCTCCTTCTTTGCCGACTAGACTCACCTTTCTAAGCCAGTTCTAGATCTATGGTCACTTTCTCCATTTGAGTTTCAACCGCTGCTGTTTACCTTGTTTTACAACTGTTTGGCTGCGTTTCTCTCTCTTCTAAGCCGACCTATGGCAACTCCAGCTCCTCCCAAACTTAAAACTTCGATATTCACTAATTTTGTCACTGCTCAACTATCTAATAACAAGTTGGATGACAGTAACTATGATTTTTGGGCCTCTAACATCAAACTGACTCAAAGGTCAAGATTATCTCGACCATCTCACTACCAAAGAAAAAATTGTGAATGCAACTAAACATAATAAATGGAGTAAGATTGCCTCCCGCTATAACTGCTGCCATGGAATTGAACCGTCAAACACTTTTTATGTTACTAACTTTGTATGGTTTACCTACAGAGTACTCCCAAGTTCGCGATCAAATTTTAGGCTCTACTTCTACATGAACTATGGCTACGCATTACAATATTACCATATTTATTTCCATTAATCTCAACAAATACAAAAAGAAATCAACCAAAAAGATTGATAAATCATATACCTTTTCAAAATCCACATCCTCTGCAAGTTGCTTTTCAGAACTATGCACACCAAAGATTTGGACTCTTTGTTTTGCATCAGGCAAACCAATGTAAAGACGACGATCAATACGTCCAGGACGAACAAATTCAAGATCTAATTCATCTGGCCTATTGGTAGCACAAATGAATATGACAGCTTGTCTAAGGGAATGACGGTCAACACCAGTTTTTTCCTTCCTAATTTCATAAATAGATAAAAACAAAAGTCACTAACAAGAAAAGAATTAAGATGAAAAATTTCAAATGGATAGGAGGTAAATACAAAAATACTCTGATAAGTGCAAGAAAATAAAATAAGGTCACATGTACATGGGAGAATTAACAGTTGCCAAAATGGATAACAAATCCAACAGGGACATAATGACATATATAAGGGATAGACCCTCATAATATTAGAAAATACCAAGTCCTATCTTTCAGATTTAGCAAAGCAAAACCAAACAGACTTAAGAACACAAGAAAATGAATTAGAAAACCAACAGAAGACAAGATACTCTTAATCATAGGGCACTAACCCAAGCTGTCAAAGCAGGCACATCAGACATCGATTTTCCATACAAACATGATCATTACTTCATCTTGCTGATAATCAGTCAATCACCCTCTATAAATCCTTATATATGTAAACATACTTCTGCCAATGTTAATTATCTGCATCTAAAATCAACTAGGATAAAGAAAGAAAACTAACACATGCACACTTATGTGCTAGTTTTAGACCATCCTACTTCCTAACCATTGGGTGATATAGGCTATGATACCAAGTCAAGGAAAGAATAGGACCAACTCTCCTGAAAGCTTAAGCCCAGTATATAGAGACTCGTGAATGGTTATATTTATGATGTACATTCGACACTCCACTCTACACCTTACCCCAAAATAAAATACAGACATGACCTCGCTATAGAAGCCAACATCTCTTCAAGAACAGGAAGTTTCAGACACTAGTTCAGAAGGACCTGTCTCACACCAGAAATTTATTCAGCCTGAATTTGGTGTATCAACATAATTTACCTTATACAACTGTTCAATAACACAAGATAACGCTTAATTGACTCTTTGAAAGATCCCAAACCAACAAACAACAAATAGATTCTGATAATGTAAGACTTCAAATACAACATAACCTCCCCTTTTCAAAATGATAACTTACTCCCCATCAAGCTGTGCAATAAGAGCCTCAAAAGTTGCCCTTCTTCGTGGATCCTTCCTAGCATGTCTTCCAGCAATAGCATCTATTTCATCGACAAATACAAAACAAGGTGCCTGCAAAAAAAAGAAATAATATTTATAACCTGAAAACAGCATTCACTGGAGAAGATGAAGCAGAGGAAAAGCTATGGAGCTTGTATATTAAGGGCAAGTAAAATAATTTTCATTGGGTAAAACCATGTAAAATTTATCTCATTCTAAATGTGCTTTCCTAAGGTATTTATTATAAATGGACTAGGCTTAACCTTAAAAGCTAGCTCACAAGGGAAAGATTGTATGAGCCTTACAAGAACTACTTTGGCAATATTTCCAGTGGATGTATGACACCTAAACACACCATTACACGTAAGTCTGGACATCTAGAACATGAAATTTATAAGATAGGCCATCCATCCATAGGAGGTGTTGAAATTATGTAATAATAGTGATACTATAAAGAGGGAAATTAGTATTTTTGTAGTTACCGAACTACGTAACTGTATATTCTGTATTAGATCCCTATTATAAATATATGTTCAACTATGTAGTCAAAACACACGGATTCATCCTATGGCTCAACATCTAGACTAGACTGGATAGACTCTAACACCACAATAGAAATGGACTAAGCCTAACTCAACCCTAAATGCTAGCTCAAGTGGGAAGGATTTCCCAAGCCTTATAAAGATTACTTTGGCCGCATTTCTAGCCACTATGGCACATTATAACAGTTAATAGAAAGAGAATATTTCTTATGTATTTCTTAGTGATTTGTACAGCATATCTATCTATGTACAATAGTGGCTGGAGTGTATATATCACACTAAATCAGGGTAATATCTACGCATCCCCCCTCAAGCTTGAAAGAGAATATTTTCTTATGTATTCCTGGTCAGTCTCATCTTGTTTGTCATCTTTGTTGTTCCCTCTATGGTTTGAAGCAGTCTCTTGTGCCTAGACAGCCTAGTTCGGACATTTTAGCTCTGCCTTAATAAAATTTGATATGAGTAGATGTGAAGTTGATCATTATGTCTTCTCTATTCAGTCGGTCTGGACAGAACATTTGTATGGTTGTTTATGATCATTAATGGTGATGATTCTAATGGCATCCAGCGACTCAGTTATTTAGCTAATTTCAGATAAAGGATTTGAGCCCTCTCAAATACTTCTCAAGTATTGAAGTTGTGCAATCCTCTTCCAGTATTGTCATTTCCCAACCAAAGTATGATCCAGACATTCTCACTCAGACCGGTATGCTCGATTTCATTGTGATACTCCCTATGGATCCCAATGTTAAGCTTCTCCCGGGTTAGAGAGAGTCATTGAAAGATCGAGGAAGATATCAATATCTTATGGGCAGACAGACTCAACTATCTCACTATTAGTAAACCTGAAATTACTTTTGCAATTAGTGTGGTAAGTTATAAATGCCCTTGTGATACTTATTGGGACACTGTAATTCATATTCTTTGGCACATAAAAAATAAACCAGGACAAGGGCTATATTATATAAAGATAATGGTAATGTCAAAATCATTTGTTATTCTGATGTTGATTGGGCAAGATCACCATTAGATAGAAGATCCACTTCTAAATATTGTGTTTTAATTGGAGAATATTTGGTTTCTCAGAGGAGTAAAAAGCATAACATAGTTGCTCAGTCTAGTACTGAAACTGAATATTGTGCTATGGCAGCAACTACATGTGAACTTACATGCCTTAAGCAACTACTTCAACGGTTAAAATTAGGAGATATTTAGGAGATGTTTATCTGTGACAATCAATTTGCACTTCACATTGTCTCAAATCTAGTCTTCCATGAACAAACTAACACATAGAAATAGATTATCATTTCATAAGAGAGAAGGTGCTTTCAGAAAAAATTACAACTGATTTTGTCAACTCCAGCGACCAATTGGTTGACATGTTTTAGAGGCTCTTGTGTTGTTGACTACATTTGTAACAAGCTTGGCTCATATGACATATATGCTTCATCTTGAGGGGAAATGTTAGATACCAATCAGGGATATGATTAGATATACAATTGTAAATTAGGAATTTAATTGATTCCTTTGTAGTTATTATTGATCCTATTGTACCTCACTGTGTGATTATAAATACAGCTTATGTGTGATCATTAGATATACAATTGTAAATTAGGAATTTAATTGATTCCTTTGTAGTTATTATTGATCCTATTGTACCTCACTGTGTGATTATAAATACAGCTTATGTGTGATCATATAACACACAACATTCAGCAATTCCTTCTCATATAGAATACATGGTAATCAACTATATATCTAGCTCAGAAAGATCTAGACTCTTACATAGAAAGCTATCAAGTATTCCATTATAACTGTTACATGACGTCACAGCCAAAAGAAAGCTATAGCAGTCTGACACAGCTTAAACTGCCACTAACTAATATAGTTACATAAGATTTAGACTACAGTTCTATACTCTAACACATAGTGATAAATAATGATCGAGAAAATGCAAAAGAAATCAACTTCTTTTCCAAAAATTCAACTTTGGGGTCTTCCTCAGAAAGTATGACGCCCTTGGGAGCCTCTGCCGTGAGAGGAAGATCAGAAACAATGTATTAACCTGGAAAAAAAACAGGTTGGCAAGAGCTGCTGTGACATGGAGCATAAAGAGATGCAGAATAGCAACTAAAAATGGCCAAACAGCAGCTCAAAACTGTGACCCACAATTTAAAAAGGGGTCGAAACAACAGGGCAAGACCAAACTAACTAGACGAAGTAATCGACGTGTTAGTACGATAGCCAAAAGGTGGCGTGTAGGCCCCATGCGCTGGCTAACTTGCGGAACTAAAAAATCACACGTGAGTGCAAGAGACACCTCTTAAGACAGCAGCACTTGACAGGGAGACTGATTGGCAGTTTCTGAAACTGAACAAAGGTTTCACATTGGGCACCCAACAACCAGACAAAGATAGGTCAATCTCCTTGACAAAGGCTGAGTGAAAAAAATAGGGTTTCTTGGACCAGCAAGCTCTGGTACCTAGTTGGAATTGAAAAAGAGAAAATTTTCTTATGGTTTCATAAGTGATTTGTACAACATATTTATGTACAATAGTGGCTAAATCAAATCCTAAATTTTAGGGGCCAGAATCAGGCTATCTAAGGAAAGTATACAATAAACCAAGGATACAACAAATCAAATCTATATCACACTGAATCAGGGTAATATCTAAACAATAGAAAATGTATTCATATTTTCAAAAATGTAACCAAAGATTAGCAACAAGCTACAACATCTAACTTCCATTTATCAGACAAACAGTGAAAAATGAATCAAGCAAGACCTGGCATGAACTTCTAACCAAGAATAAGAAACAAAACTATACTTCAGAGTCTCAGACCATCACTGACATTTTAACTTGTAATTATATTAGAAGTAGCTAGTGTTTAGCTGCTTACATTTCTCCTAGCAATGGAAAACATTTCATTGATCCTAGCTGCTCCACTTTTTTCACTATCTGTGAACTCAGCGCCTGAAGCAAAAACGAAAGGTAATCCACTTTCTTTAGCAAGTGTCCTGGCAAAAAGCGTTTTTCCTGTTCCTGGAGGTCCAGAGAGAAGAACACCCTGCAACATGCTTGCTCATCAACAAACTTACCTCATATAGGGACAAAGAATTGAGGAGCATAACTGGCCATGCAAACACCAAATATTTACCCGAACAAATTGCACTTCCCTTTCAAAGAACTGCATAGGATTTCCCATATAGATCATCAACTCATCAAGAAGATCCCAAACGTCACCCCCCAACACAACTTCCTTGTACATAGATTTTGTTTCACCAACATCTCCAACTGGCTGACAAATACAGGAACATGAATAGTAATAAAACTAGCAGAAATAGAAAATCAGTAGAAAAGGAACAAGTTCACCAAATTTGAAGCAGATGCTGGATTTAATTCCTACATCCGCCTTTAATACTTTTTGGGGGGTTGCGGAGGGGGAGCATGACTACTGTAGTTGAAGTAAATGTGCCTCCAACCAAAAAAGGACACTAAATTTACTATCGATCCATCAAAGTAGTATTCAAATGTTGGTTTACATATCATTTTCCTCTTGGAAAAAATTTCTTTCGTCAACAAAAACTGTCATATAATGATAGTATTTGCAAGAATATTTCAATGGCTATCTAGAATAATCATCGTTGACATTTTATGAAATTTTGAAATATATGTCTAATTTTTGTTTTGTCGTATATTTCCAACAGTTTATTGGAGATTGAAAGCTTACCAGAATGAAATTTTCTGCATGAGCCATATCAAAAAGTTGATTATACTTCTTGTAAAGAAAACGCTTGGAAGTAATATACAGAAGCGTTACAGACTCCCTTATAAGCCAGAGAATTAGTATTCCAGGTAACAATGCAATCACAACCTTCATAAAATAATGGATCTGTTGCTTCTGAAGGAGATCTACTTCAACTCCAGAACTTGTAATAATCTCAAACAGATAAGGATCAAGAGGGATATCAACCTACCAAATAAAATCTATGTTAATCAATCAGATGTCCCTGAAGGAACATAAGCTGGAGAGAGAACCTTGGAGAGAGATTAATTTGGAAGTAACTTACGACAAATTCCAATGGAAAACCTTCTTTCATTGTCACGTACAATCTTTTCAAGTCTTCGGTAAAGACAACAGCTGCTACCTGTCCAAAAGAATATAGCTCAGCAACTGCCACCTGACCTAACTTCTCAAAAGTTTGATGTGCATAAAATTTAATTATACATAAGGAGCTCATATGATAATTAAAAAGCAGACACTGTACTGCAACATGCATATTATAGTCAGTCATTATAATTACTAATTTGATTCCAAAATTGCATCTTGTACCAATTTTAATATGGGTACATTACTCACTAACCCTTTATGCTCATGTGTGTTGTTGCTAGAATATTAGTCTTCTTCTAGAGTATGATGGTAGTCTAGAACTCTAGATTCATTGGCTGTTAGGGTGTATAATGAGAGTGAATAAGGGCAGTTATTAGTCAATAGTTAGTTGCACGAATCAGTTGAATAAAGGACAATTATTAATCATTAGTTAGTTCACTTAGTTGCACTAGTCAGTCAGTTAGTTAGTTAGTTAGGACTGCTTGGCTATAAATAGGAGAAATTAGATTGGGTAAGGGGGGAGTGAAATTGATAGTTTGTAAAAGTGAAAGGAGAGATCCTTTGGGAAGGGGAAATCCTTGGGGAGAATTTTATTCTACATTTTCTGTTCTGTTCATTAACAAAACTCTGTTTCTTTAATTCTTCTTCTGTATTTCGCATTTTTTTTATCTGGGTTCCTATCATCAGCATATGGAGCATATGCTAGAATATTAGTCAATTATGGTTATTGCTGGAGTTAAAAGTTGTTAATTAGATCAGTAATTAGTCCTTCATCAGCTCTAGTACTTAATGGCTCTAATCATAGTATAGATATGATCGATTTGTGATAGAGCATTGGACCAGTTATTGGGCTCTCACCACAGAAAGCCCAAGGTCTGGAAAATTTATTCACATAGGGGAAAAGAAGGGCACAGGGGGAAAGAATCAGTTATACTGCTGAGTTGGTAAGTTAGTTGGGCCATACAGCATAATCAGTGTGAGATAATAGTATCATACAGTCTAGCTCGGAGAACTGAAAAGTTTGTCAAAGACTTATAAAGCTATATTGCATGCTTGGAGTCTGTATAGTGGAGAGCTTGGAACAATGTCAAGGGGGCTACTGAGGAGACAGGTCAACAACCTCTCGGAGCATTCTGCAAAGGAAATCAAAAGGTTGCCTTATTCAAGGGAAATACTAGTTTCTTAGCTTGGTTGAGATGGGCTGAGTTGTTTTAGATCTTGTTCTTTGTTGTGTGTTATATAACAGGCTAACAACACTAACAAAGCATCAACTTGAGGAGTGTTAGTACCATAAACAAGAATCTAGATTCATGTTTAGTACATGTTCTGATAGTCATCAACTACAGCTTTTATGGTAGTTAATAACTGTTAATGAGAATAATTAGTCTTCAATTAGCTCTTGCACTTGATGCACTCCTATAGAATAAATAAGATGGACTGTGTATACAATATCTACCTATGCCAATAGGGATACAGTATTTCTGTAATGAGAAAATCAATTGGTAGCAGGGATTAATCCACATTCAATGTTTCCTTGCCATATCTTTAAACATGAGAGAAAGCAGAGACCTATAAGCCTCAGGTTTTACAACAAGTAATTTTACTAAACCTAATGCTTGTCAATGTATGTTAACTACCTAAACTCGCCATTAGATTTGAACAAATTCAGATTTCATATATATTATGCTCATGTGAAACTAACAGGACCAAATTACAAATCATAATAATGTCCGTACTACATAGCAAGAAGATATATGAACATTCTTTCATTGAGAAAAGAAAATAAACCAAAATAGATTTACAGAACAGAATTCACCTCAGAACTATCAAGTTTGTCAAGAAAATAAGTATATGGAAGTTTAGGGCGATATCGCCACCATCTCTTAGCTATCCACAGAGCCTGTGTTCCCTGAGTGGGTATCACCTTTTCTGCCACATCCTTACGAAGACTATTTTCAACCTCTTTCATGTCAAACTCAACTACATATTTGGCATTTAAAGAATCCAATTGCTCAGCAAGACGTTCTTTTCTAAGGATCTCACTCCATTTATGAAGTCTTTCACGCCATGAACCCTCAGTCTGAACTTCAACAGCTTAGAAAAATGAAAATGGATTAGTTAAGAATTAAAAAAAATGAAAAGCATGCCCCCCATCTGAATTGCTTTATTTCACTATCTTATGATGTTATATATTTAACCTCTAGAGGAAAAGTCTACAAGGGATTGATGAAAATGCTCACAAGTCCCACAATTTCAAATATTAAAATATCTCTCAAGAGTTCTCAGATAAAACTCCCAAACCTGAAAAACAAGGCCTTTGACAGTATACCAGTTGAAAAAACATGGCTTTATGAGTTTATGTTAATTCACAATAACAGCAACCTATCCATACAGCAGGTCAGCTAAATGGCCAAATGATATCATTGGACTTTATCGAACATAAGATTTTCTAAACACCACAAAAACCAATTCAAAATATTGTGGTTCTTTATATATTGCATTTTCTACATTTTGGTGACCAAAGACAACCGTGTAATTGTAATTCGACATGGCTATTAAGGGAAATAAAAACCTATTGTACAAGAAATGAGTCCAAGGATCAGAAAAAGGAAAATATCCTCATAAAATATGTTGCCTTTCACATTATCCAAGGATCAGAGAAAAGAAAAATGGCCCATCCCCCAATATATCATGTCTCTGCCATATTTATTTAAAATCTCATAATTCACAATTTGAATCTCATGTTTCGATATGATTTGGCCCATCCAACAATTTTTATCATGTGATGAACTGCATGCAAATGACTACAAATCTTAAGACATATGGATGAATAAGTGGATTCCATATAACTAATACAAATTGCACAATTCAGCAATTCATATTTTTTCTTTTTTACTTTTCTTTCACTATTTCTCATCAAACAAGTTGAAAAGTCTGACGAGATTAAATTTTTAAATGAAGAGGAACTGAAGGAGCACTACTAAGCACACCTTATTTGACTATTTCCAATGTTATATTGTCATTTTTAAACATTATCACTCACTCATTCTATGGAGCTTATTTGGCTATTCCGTTGCTTCAGTCTTCTGAAATAGAAGCTTCACAAACTCAGTTATGATTTATGACTTTTTGGCAAACTTATTCAGTTGTTTTGTCATTTTCTAGTTTAAAAGTATTACAATGAGCACTGTACATCATTTATATGAAATATTTGAAGCTATTTTTTATTGTCTGAATCTTAAAATTTGATCCAATTTATGATTCAAAAATTAGCTTGGTGATTCATTATTTGAATTGTGATTTGACAATCTTTGGCCATAATTTTGAGACAAATGATCAGTATGTGTGTGTGTGTGTGTGTGTTTCATGTGAAATAGGGCATTGATAACCTTCTCTACAACATTTCTATAAAAGTTTCAGTGGCAGGCAAGTCAGAAGTTGATACTAACAATATATTGTTAAAACTACAATTTAGCAGATTGATTTTTTGTGGAGAAGCCAAACCTCAATTTTCACTATTGAGAAATTTTTTTTCTTATTTTCATTCTTCACATTTTTTAGGAGAAGACTCCCATAAATTTCTTTTTGGGATAGAAAAAGACTACATACAAGTAAAAGTTATATTTCGTATGTAAAATCTGTTGAAAAGAAAAAGGTGTCTAGGTTCTTTGTGTATAGGCTTAGCCATAATCATGTAATTATAGTAATTAGGGTTTTTTATATTCTTGTAATTATTACATTGGCCCTATATATGTAGCCTCATCTTTGTAATTCAAACACAACTCATCACATTTCTCTTGTCTCTCTCTTTCTTGACAAAATCAAACAGCAAGAAAGACAATGAACCCAATGCATGCTGCATAAACATTTATTGGAACCATCTTATTTCAATGCAGAAGACACAATGAAATAAACTATAATCAGTAATGAAACGAAACATCAAGTTATGCCTTATTGTTTCTAAAGTCATAGTAACAACTTAATATGCCATAAAATAAACAACAATTATAATAACAATATCACAACAACAAAAAGAAAGAAAGAACAAATTGAATACAGAGGAACAAAAGAACCAATATTTTACAAAGTAATGAGAAACCTGAAATGCCCAAGTTTTTTGTTAGTTCTTTCTTCTCTTCTTTGTTTAATCTTTCATCATCCTCTATAATTTTTTTTACATGAACCTCTCGATCATCCTCCCATGCATCCTCTCCAACATAAGAAGTATCATGAATAAGCATCCCATCAGGTCTTTCAATAAGCTTTTTCATTTTCAGGCCTTTTGGCATTGTCTTCTTCCACATACCCTTCTTAAATCTGCAATTAAATAATTAACAAAAACGTTGGCTAAATGGATACAACACATTAAACAACTCAGTACATGAAATGGTTTTATAGTTGAGGCTTCAGATAGGTCGGAAAGTGGTTGAACTCTAATGGCCATCTGTAGTTTGAGGAAAATATTGGCATCAATGTTTTGAGTTTTGGGGGGTCATGGTGTAGGGACAATGTGAAGATTATAAGCAAGAAAATACCTAGACATATCAATTCAAAAGGGGGAAAATAGATAGAACCTAAAGTTGTGATGTATTTTTTTGTTGTTATGACCATGGTTATAATTTGTGATTGCAGTCAAATTACACTTATGTTATGGATACAGCAGTTGCAAGCATTACAAGTTGTAATGCTGGTCGCAGTGATGTGGCTTTGAATTTTTCCAAGTTTGCAGCTGTGAAATTGCATATTTAAACAAAAGCTGCAAAATTACAGCTGATGCAGTCACTGTGATTGTGTTTTTTCGTGAACAGAGAAATCACTACATGATTGTGAGGTAATGCCACAACTTCTATATTGCAACCACACAGGTGACATGGTCCTCTATATGAAACCATGTGTCATGAGGCACCATTATTCAAGGATGATTATAAGTGTGATGTCCTCTTTGATAGCCTAAAGCCAAGGTTATGGAACACATAACATCAAACATGTCTTGGTCAAATCAAGAAGCCATCCTGTAGTTCAGTATGCCATGTATAGGATAGGCTTGAACTGTCATCATTGACTTGTTTTAACGGATTACAGTTTACAAGTCTACTTCTAACAGATACTTATTTAATCATTCAACTTGATTAAAATCTTATCTTGGTAGAAAACTTGTGACAGAATGTTATACATTTGCAACGAACAAAATTGTAGAAATCAACAATTTAATTTCTAAGAGACGACAACAATTCGATATGCCAAAAGTATATACAAGAGGGCTTGGATTCAAAGCATATAAGAATAAACGAGGATTCACTTACCTTCTAATGTTAGTAGGGGATGGCTCAGGAATTAATGCTTCCATGTAAGCTTCTGTCAATTCTTTTTTCTGGCGATTTATGAACGGTGCTTGAATTGCTACATATACTCCTCTACAAGCAAATGCCACAACAAAACTGTAAAGAACCAATGCGCCAATTCTCTTAGGTTCCCAGTTCTCGATATTCTGGAACAAGAACAAGCAACATTGTTTAGTTTATATTAAAAATAAAATAGCACAGAATAATTAAAAATATAATTAATGATCAAACAGACACGATCTTGAGAGTCACCTTCCAACGTTCCCATCGATTCCAATCGACAAATTGAGACAGCGAATGAGTCCCAATCCGTCGCAATTCATCTACACTCACACCATCGACATTTGAGACACCTTCTTTCAAGTCAAAACCCGTCTCCTTCTTCACCATTTCCCCAAACTTCACCCAAAACCGGCGTGAACCGCGCTGCAGCCACGAAGAGCCATCTGCGGTGGCCGAAGTTCGAAACTTGAGCCTTGTGCGGCGGCGCGGTGCGGTTAACGTGAAAATGGGGGCGAGTTCTGATGATGAAAGAAGAAGTGAGTTTGGGCTGAATGAAATGCTGATATCCATTGTTGTTCCTCTTAGGCGGGGCAGTTTCTGGGATTCATTTCACGATTTGGGATTTTTGAGGTTTATGGGGTTTATCCACAATACTCACTGAGTCCAAATCTTCCTACGCACAGTTTCTAGTATTTCACCTCTATACAATATCCCCCAGGCTACTAATTTTTGTACGAGTATTTTAAAGTTCAACTCGGGCTTTTTTATTTTTTTAAAAATAAATTATTTAAAAAATATTTTTTAAAGCAATTTATTTAAAAAAAAAATTCAAGCAAGTTTTATTCCTAATTAAGTTTCACAAGTAGGAGTGACGAAACTAAAATATTAAAATATTTGTTAAAATTTTATAAAATTTTGTTTATGCTAAAGATAAAACTTTTTTAAAATTTTTTTAAAAAGTTCAAATTAAGAACATATGACACATTTCAAAATTTTAAGTAATTTTGTCCACTTAATATAAGAAAATAGCTTGAAAAAAAGTTTTTAAAGGACAAAAGTAGAGTTTGGAAAAAAAAACAAAGGCTTTGAAGGTGAGACTCACAAATAATTTTTTTATTCTAGGTGTGTAAGTGGCTCTAATCCAACAAGCACCACTACTGAAGTCTTCCTTTTCTTACAATTATTTCATCTTCAAGACCAAGCTTCCTGGTTGTGGCATCATACTTTTATACCATGAAGGAATGAAAGGCAGCAAAAGGGGAGAAATTTAGAACATGTTTTCATCTAAACATGCATAAACTCATAAGGTAAGCAGTTTGAGTGTTGTGCTGATAATTTTGTCAAAGGATAGATGCCTACTCTCTGTCTTTTAGTGACTAATGCATCTTCTTGAAGTTGTTATTTTAACTGCTAGAGCCTAGAATTACTTTTAATCTTTATATTTATATATTAATTTTATATCCCTGCAGATTGTGCCTAGTTTCATGTCTCCAGTTTTGGAAAAGCCTATTTTCTTCAACCCCTCTGGAATGGTACTAACTGTAGATGCCTCCTCTGCTGTTGAGATTCCAAGCTTCTGCTTAGCGGATCATGGAAATGCATTCCTTGTTCCCATGCCTCACGGTCTTAGGTAACAATCAACTTCCCCTCTCCCAAGTCCTCATTTTATGTAACCTGCTTTAATAGTTTCGAACACATTTTACAACTTTAACGGGGTTGTAAGATGGCATGTAGCTATTACTTCTAGCCCATCAAATATTTTAATCCTAGAAATTTTTAAAATGTTACATTAATTCCTATTTTTCATTTCCACATATATTTTGGCTCTTAAACACTATTAATATATAATAACAAAATATATATGTTAAGCGACATATATGCTTAATAATATGACTAAAATATTGTATATGAAATGATATTTTTATTTCATTTTAGTTTTTGAGAAAAACTTGTTAAGTATTTTAGTTTTTATAATTGACATTGATAAATATTTTACTCTCTCATTCTTAAAACATTTCATTTGTCCATCATTCTTCTTCATTCTATTGGATAGATAAAAAAATTTAAGAACCAAAGACTAAAATATTGGTGTTAGGGGTGTGGAGATTCAACTATATTGAATATTAGCAAGTGGTTAATGAAATAGTTTATAGTAGAGTTCAATTTTCATACCGTACCACTAACATTTTAGTCTTTATTTCTTAAAATCTTTCATTTATCCACTAGAATGAAGAAAAAGAAACATAGATAGATAAAAAGTTTTAAGAACTAAGGACTAAAATACTTATTGATGACAATTTCAACGACTAAAATGCCTAATAGATGACAATCTTAATAACTAAAACAAAATGAAAACATATATCATAGCACATATAATGTCGTTTTTGTCACGTAATCAATTATATATGTTACTTATTGTGACATGTCAACATTCTATTATGGTCTTTAGGAACTAAAATGACTAACAGAGATAGAAATCAGAGACTAATGTAATATTTTTAAATTTTTAAATATTAAAATATCTTACATTTACTATCTTAAGAACAAAAATGAAAGTTTAGTCCTTTAATTTAAATACACCCACAGGTGACCAAACCAAAGTGGTGCATTTTAGACCAACTCCCCTCATAAAGGATATGAAAGATGTCATCCTATGGATGAGTAACGCATTTGTGGCAGTGTCATCTTTAAATGAGTAGCACATCTCATATCCGTGTTTTGCAATTAATTTACTATTCCTTTCACCTATTTTGGTAAATTGCTTTTAAATTATACTATTTTGATAATTTGTTTTAAAATTTTACCAAGTCAAAAAGCCCAAATAAAATAACTTTGAAAGAAGGAGAAAATAATAGACTTCCTTAAAAGTTTAGAACAAAAGACAATTTTTGCAATTTTTATAAATATTAATTACTAATTTTCAATTTCTTAAAAATTAGTAAGAATAACCAACAAATTCAAAAAATAAAGAGAAAATAAAATTTAAAATTTGTGTGTTTGATAAAAATTTGGTAGATATTTTTGAGAAATAAAAACAACAAGAGTAAATTTTCAAAACTTACCATTTATAAAACTGTTTATTTCAGATGTTAAACTTTAATTTTTGTACTTAATTGAAAAAAATAAAATTTAGTATTTATACTATAAATTGATGTAATACATATTGACATGTAAAATTTATAAAAAAAATAGTGATTGACTAATTAAAAGCAATTAATAGAAAAATAAAATATTATATTTTGTATGAATTAAAGCATAAATTTTTTTATTGAAAAATGTTATTTGATGTATAATTTTTATTTTATATAGAGTGGAGAGTTCCTTGTAATAAGGACTGATGTAATAAAATTCTTGAAAAAAATGTTATTAAATGAATTAAGTAACTTAAGGCATAGGAATAGAAGTTTAGAATGTTAGTGTTAGTCTAATTTATATCCATAAGTATACATATTAGTCAAGTAACCAAGACTAACTAACTTGTATTGTAAGTAATGAATTTGAATAACAATCCTAATTTATGCAGGATAGTCATAATTGATAAAATATATATATACACTATTGAGAGTGACCACATTATTTTTAGTATATTATATTGTACTTAAGAATTGACTGTACTTTTTGTCTCTACCTATATTGTGAACACAAAATTCACAATCGCTCATCGATAAAAATTAAAATGCATGAATTAATTAATTAATTCATAAATCTATGGAGGATTAATAAATAGAAAAGAAAAATATAATGACAAGATTGATTGATGGTGTGATTTCTTTTGTTGTAATTTGATCCTATTTTTTAAGGTAGAATAATTCATTTAAATACCTTTTTAATTAAATATTTATTTAATATATTATTTATAAATAATGACTTATGTCATAAATTTAATTATAGAATCTATTAAAATAAAGCTGAAAACAAATTATTTTGATATGTTGTATTATAAAAGTTACTAAAATAAGATATTATGAATTAAATTCATGAAATAGGTTCTAAATCAAGTTGATATTATAAACTCTTTCTTTTATGTGTTTTGTTTTAGATTTAGCTAAAAGGTAAACAAAATAAAACTAGAATTTATTTTTCTTGAGATGTTCACTCAAGTGAAGAACAAATAAGTTATACCTTTGGATTTTAGAGGACATGTGACTAGGCAAATATCTTGAAGTTTCATTGCACCATAACCAGGTTACAAAAGATGCATCGTTTCATCCTTGATAAAACATATTGATAAGTTTGTATTTAGACCTCTTTTGTAGCCCATATATTTATGTTTAATCTTTATTTTATTTGAGGTTTACATTGATTTACATGTTAATTGTGTATTTTAATATGAAGAGCCACAAGTGAATTTTGAGTATGTTTTCGGCCCAAATTGATAAAAGATCAGAGCTTTGAAGCAATCAATGCACCCAGACCCTTTCAACAAGTACGGGGTGTTTTGAGCGCCATGCACGGTCGTGCTTAAGGCCTTACACGACAATGCTCATCTGCAGAAAGTTCAATTTTGAAGAGCTTTTAGGGTTTTCAAATTCTATAAAAGAAAAACTTCAGGCATCCTGTTGGGAGATATTGTTTACATCATAACTTTTGCTCTTTGATACACATTTCATCTCGTCTCTCTTCCACGAAATCTTTGGCATACTCTTGGCAAGACTTGGAGCTTCAAGTGACTGTACTTGAAAATCAAAAAATCATCTCTTTCTAGTTTGCTTTTCTCTATGACTTTGTTTATTATTATTTTAATTCTTTTCTTTAGCATGAGTAACCAAGTCCATAGCTAAAGCTATGAAAACTATTGTTCATAAATTTATAGGATTTTGATGTTTAAATCTATATTTGGTTTTCGTTCGTGATTAGCTTTTATCCTATTGCACATAATTATAATCTTAATTAATTATATCGCTAGGTGACTATACCTCAATTAGTTAACAAATCTATAGAATAAAACGAGATAAAGAATTAAGTGAATCAAACTAATCTTTCTCTTTCAATCGTTATTAAATTAACAAATTTATAGGTGTTTTATACTTTCTTAAATTGATGTCTTACATGAACATTGGGGATGTTAATTTAGGAAAAAAAATATTAATATTGCATGACCATTGGGTATTAATAGTATTTTTATTAATGATTAGTAATTACAAGAAAATCAAATTTAGAGTTAAACAGAAAAATAACATAAAGAATTGAATGAATAAACTCATATGCCCTAGATTTCCCTCCGATAAGTTCAATCAAGACGTACATTGTGTTCTTTATTCTAGTTTTTAGAATTAATTTTATAAATTTTTATTTTAATTAATCTCGTATCTTTGAAACTCAAACAATTGAATTAAAAAATTCTTAGTAATTAAAAATTAATTTTTATTGGATAATATTTTAAGAACTTAATTTAAGAACCCTTTATTATTTCTTAATAGGCACATTTACCCTCCAAACACATATCAAAGTCCATGTAATTGGAAATGTAGGATTACACTAAGTCAGTGCTTTCAGCCTTGCCAACGTATGCGATGTAGACAACTCTATTGTTGAAAGCAATATGTTAGGAGGTGAATAGAAAGGGTGCAAAATTCATATGATTATAAACCTGCAAGGTGTGTAACGCCCTGAATTTTGTAATATAGTTTAATTATTAATATAAGTGTTTACGTGGACTTTCATATGTTATTATTAATTATTATACACACACACACACACACATATATATATATAT